ATACTGTGTGTCGAATGTAATCGTCTACAATTTGCTGCTTCTATCAATACTTTTAAATAAATGAATAAATCAACGTACTCTCACTTTCCGAAACATGCATTCCTATTTCTATTTCACCGTGATCTATCAACATAAGCTGGAATACTATTTTTCGGCTGGGAACATACCCGATCGATACTGGCAGCCATCCAATCTGTAGCCATCACAACACTAGAATAATTCATTTTGCTTTCTGAGCTAATCAGTAGTAATGAGTGTTGTTGTACGTAATTATTTTATTTCAGCTAGGGCATTAATATCATTTCTCATTTCGTATTAGAAAATAAATGAGCTTCTCTTGCACGAATTGATAATCGTCTTGTATCATGACCAATAAACATAAGTAACCTTGCTCGACGAATTCACTGCCAAACAGCATCAAAATGGCATCGATATTTGATCATAGCCGAATAAACGAATCTTTTAGTTTAAGAGAATTGCAAAGACCATCATCTTTCATAAGTATTTTAATCTGTAGACAGTAACTATAGCCAATAATAAGTGTAATCCGATGAGATTTTGGTGTCGTTGATGGTACAATTCAGAAAATGGCTTAACCTGGGTTGTATGAATTGATAATCACCCTGCACTATGACTAATAAACATAGATAGCGTTGCTTGAACGAATTAATTGCATAGTATTATCAAATGGAAATGAATCGTTTACTGTTAGTTAAAGAGAATTGTAAAGACCATCATCCTCCATTTGCATTTAGATCTGTTGGCAGTAACCTTAGCCAATAATAAATGAATACTTACTGGCGATGATCAACTCTGTAGCCGTAGCGAAACTAGATGCATACATTCACTTTGTTTTTTGAGCTGATCAGTATTGATTAATACTATTCTATTTTAGCTAGAGCAATAATGTTGTTTTTAATCTCATATTGGATAATTAGTTGGTTTCTATTGTATGAATTGATATTGATCTTGCATCGTACCAAATCAATATGGGTAGCATGACTACTGTAAACGAATTTATTACAAAATAAGCTCGAAAGGTATTGAAAAAAAGGAATTGCGTAGATAAAGAGAATTGCAAAGATGATCGATCATCCTTCATTTGCGTTTAAATCTGTTAGCAATAACCTTATGCGATGATGAGTGCGATCCAATACGATATTTTGGTGTCGTTCTCACAATAATTTATACATTCTTAATAAAATAGGTTTCAATACTTTTACTTCCGTATTAGTTCAAAATAAACCTTTGGATGAGTTGATAAAGGAAAATGTTCCTCGTTGAGATTGATACTCTATTAATATTTGAAAATATTCGTCTGCTAGTGCAGGAAAAGTTATCATGGTGAATGCTATGATATCATAATTGGTTTACCTTTAAAAAATGGTGCTGCCGAATAGAATCTTTCATGTCATCGAGTGATCTAGCTTCTACCCTGATGTTGCTAAATATTTTTCAATAGGATTGAGCACATAAAGCAATTAATTTCTCCTTTCATAATAAGTGTAGTCTAGATATCGACAAGATGTAAAAATAATCCTCATAATAATTATTGATATTAATCTAATTTTCATTTCTACTTCTTATTGTTGTCGTAAAATCTAGGACGATTTTCCGGAGACTAAAGTCCAGCGAAGCAGCGGTATTAGTAGGACGACAGTCCTTGTCCTTATTGTGATTATCTTATTAGTAGCTGCAGCTGCCATTACCGCTGTCGTTGTGATCATGAAAAGTAAGGCAATATTAATTAAGATGATTAACGTAGAGATTGAGAAGAATTATCAGGATAATAAACAAGATAAATAAAAGAATGAGTACATCGTTAATATCGACTTTTGTAATGCAAGCGGTATGGAATTATGTTTGTCAGTATATTTTTTTACTCAGTTTGAATGTAAGACATCATTAGTATAGATAGTTTTAATGCAAATGGGTATGCAAAGATGCTTACCAGTATAATTTATTAGCTAGGTTGATTGTAAGAATACCTAGCTTAACGACGAAGCAAAAATTCCTTTATTTATTTATAGAGTTTTTTTTTCAGTTTCGACATGTTTCATTGTCGTGCTCTATACTGATAAATCTATTTTATGTATGCCTATGTACTAAATGATAGCTTGATGGCCTTGCTATTCGCTATAATGATGATGATATTTCATCTATACATGCTCCTGTTCATGATCATGATTTTCCCTTGTAAATTGCAAAAATATCCCTCAGGATGATAGTATTATTTTAGGAACGTTGCTGTCTGTATATGTTAGTTTTAATTCAAAATGTAATCTACTGTAAACTCCTAAACTGGTATCTAAGCTGTAGATAATCTCAGTGTTTACGGAAGAGCTGGAAATAATATAATTAGATTATAGAATAACATTAATTTGCTGGCAGAAAGAAGTCCCTTAGACAAAACATAGTAATAAACAGATCCTTATGAGTTCCTAATTTGATGGAATTGATATTTTGCATCAAACAGCGCTACTGAAGAATAAATTAACTAAATCAACGACTAGAATAAATAAATCCCTAGGGTAAATATAGCAATAAAAAGGTTTCTACCTCCTCAATACCCAATAGCTTTGATACTTTAAAATTAGGATAACATTAAAAAAAGTTTTAACGAGAAGTTATTGATACAGGAGCTAAACTTTACGATCTACGTCACCTCTGAGAATTATTTTGATATAAATGAGCATACATTGATTAAGTATTGCAATGGACCTGTCTGATTCTCCACAATACAACCAGGAAGGATTAACTAGAGTAATGATAAAATCTTTGCTTATGAAATATCCATTTTTCTTAGTTTAGATGGATTATATTTTAAATTTGTATTCTTATTGCCATGAAGTGATTATATAACCTTAACAGTCTAAAGTAAACTGTACAATAGCTACAAAACAGTAACTGTTTCTTAAATATACATGATCCTTTTCATGAGAAATTGGTCAAGATTACAAACAATTTAAATGTCATGATTGAATAAGAGTAACTAGTTAATGTTGTCGGGATCATAAGTCATTACTTTCTCAATAGTTTAATATCGTAGGTAATAATTATTTGGAAATAAAGGGGGATTTTCCGCATATCCTTTAGTAACTTATCTTCTGTCAAGTCACTAGACTAGAAAGGTTCTTGATTTAATCCGCTACTTCTAACTATAGCGGATATCGATGATAGCATTACTCTTATACTTTGGGAAGATCCAGTTATTTTTTCTAGCTACGTGTACAGTAGTTATCACTGATCGCATCAATCATATAGCTAGGGTAGATTTTGTAACTTTTCTAGCTATAATGGTATCGATGATCGAATCAGTCACATAGCCAGAACAGTTCCGTTATTTTTTCTAGTTATAGTAATTATCGATGATCGAATCAGCTATATACCTAGAGAAGATTTCTTTACTTTTCCAACAATAGGGCATATAGATGATCGAATCAGTTATATAGCCAAAGTAGAACCCGTTATTTTTTCAGCTATAAAGATTATATAGTATATATTATCAATAATTGGATCAGTATTATAAATAGGATACACTCCGCTATTTTCTAGTTACAGCAGTTTATCCACGATCGGATCACTCATATAGCTATAGTCGATTCCCTTGCTTTTCTAGCTATAATAGTTATCTGTAATCGGATCAGTTATACAGTTCGGATATATCCCGTTATTTTTGTAAATATAGTAGTTATTGATGATCGAGTCAATCATGTAGCTAGCGTAGATCCTGTTATTTTTCTAGCTATAGCAGTTATCGAAATCGGATTAGCCACATAGCTAGAGTAAGTGTCGACATTGATCCTCTTACTTTTTAGCTATACTACATTGTTTATCGACGATCAATCATGTAGATAGGATAGATCTCATAAATTTTTTAGCTATTTTAGTTATCGATGATTAGTCGATATAAATGGAGCAGATCCCGTTATTGGCATTCTAGAATGGAGAAAATATGCACATCTCCCATGGTACCGATGCGTACCATCGCTGATGATTGACAGCAGCATTTTTCTGCCCATAATTAATATCTATATTGATCTTAGTAAGTGAGTAAACATCTTTTAACATTACCATTGGGTTTATTGATCAAACTGCAAGGTAAATTGGAACCAGTTGTATTTATTTATTCTGTCATAGTGTCCCCATCTTGCATCCTATCATTTACATTAGAGCTTCCGATCCACTTTGCTATCGGCTTGTGAACTACCTTACGATATTGTAGTATTCAGTAAAGTGTTTAACGGATCGATTTTAGTGTCTAGTGCCGATGATTTAGGCTATAGAGAACACAAATTTGTATTTATTTACTATCCAAGCTGTACCTGATGTTGACATGCGGTGGAATGTTGGATTTCTTATTACCAAATTGATATTAATTATTGCCTATTGTACAGCCATACCAGTTTTAATTTTCTCAATTCTACGTTTACGTATATCATTTATTTAAGATATTTCCAATGCTGGTATGATAAGCTTCAGTATTAATTTGAACTGTATAAAATACGAATAGCTGTTGATTAAATACAAAAGGAATATTATTTGAGCCAGTATAGAATTAGAATCTTATTATTGATCTACTACAATTTAAAATAAATCTCTTGATTGATCATAAGGATAAATAAAGGCATCACCCGGCAAAATGATGTCAAAAACGACTAAGATCATTATTATTGGCCTGAATTGGCTAATACGATATACATAATATACTGGAACTACTCCATCATTTTCAATTATTTATTTACATCCTAGTAAACGTTAATGCAGATCAAAACCTTTTGCATGGATCTGATTCTATGCTAAAAATAAACTACCATCATTAACCTTATCGATACCGATATTGTGCTATCAAATAGCTACAATTCTTCTATAAACTGTTTCTATAATCGTTTTCCTTGTAGCAGCTATCTCCAGCTATGTAACCAATTGAAAGTTATTTTAATGCCCACTCAAAGTTTTCATTACCTCTATTCGCAGATCAACAACAAGCCCAGACTAGTATGCCTACGCCAAATAATTTCAAAGGCAAAGTCTTTGGAATTAGTGAATTGTACAATGGATCATTTTATGCTCGATCAGTATATGTCAGTTGGATAAGTGGTAAGCTAACTGATTATCAAGCAAATTCTACCCAACTGAAGGAATAATATAATCAATGGATACAAGCCTTTAATCAATTTCACACTTTAACCTTGATTCCTATCTGTTGAATATAGATACTTCCTACGAGTACACAGACACCAATGGCGATCTCGTCGAGTACGATGTATCCACGAATACTACCAAAGTCCTATTGCCTTATTCGCAAAAGGTAAATATAAACATCTACCAGACTGTAGAAAAATAGTGTCGGTATTTTGGGTTATGAAATGTGTTCTTAAAATTATTTTCTTTTTCAGAATTTGCTCAAGATAGCAAGATCTTGGATTAGTCCTGATGGCCTATTCTTACTTCTATCCTATCAAATGAGATATGTAAGCTATGTTACGATGGCCATTTTGGCGATGGATATTGATGGCTGCCAATCGGCTAGAATGAATCGTTGTTCTAATTGATATTCTTGTTTCGATTGAAAATTCATAGCTCTATCGCTACTCTTTCTATGCTCGCTATATCGTCTACCGAATTTCAGACAAGTAAGTTGATTTTTGAAGCGCTAGAGTGTCGTTTTATGTAAATGGATAGTTATATTTGGCAAAAATCGTCATAAGAATATGGAGTAAATTATCCTTCGCTAATAAATTCATAGCCATAGCCATAGATTAACATAATCGGAACGTATTCACATATCAAGAAGATAGTGACTGTAAAATCATCTAATTTTTTTATTATTTTGCTTCAAGGCAAATTTTCTACTTGGAGCCAATGGGAAGTGGAAAAGAATTAAGATATATGGGTTGGTCAGCAAGTGGCCATAAATTGGTAAATTCTATAAGCGTTGAGTAAAACTTGAAGTTTGATGATTTTGTAATGCAAGAATGCGAAATGAATATGGATATGCAGTTTCCCCCAGCAATTTACTAATTTGGAACTGCTTAATTTCTAAGTGTTACAATCTTACAGTGTCATACTATTGAAGTATGCAAATTCTATAGATTTAATAACGCGATGCATCTTATGTTCTATTTCAGTCTTTCGTTTTTGGAAATGATGTCTATGTTCTATCCGATCCTACCAATGACAAAAACATGGTACGATTAACGACCACCGGTGTCGACAAAGTCGTATTTAATGGTGTTCCTGATTGGAACAACGAAGGTTTGTTGCGATATTTGGATGTTATAAATAGAATTCATCAGTGTGTAGATTTGGTTTCGTAAATCGTTAATCTTGTACAAAGATGAGATGAACAATTTACTCATCGTCGTAGAGTTAAAATAATTCATTGCTCCAAATTCATACCGTACTGAACGTGGATGAACCTTATATAGATCCTATTGGATCTTAGATTAATACTAAAAAAGTTCGACTTCTTAGCTTCTACAATATTGCGATAAAATAAAGCAATTATCTTTCATATTTATAGAGGAAATTTTAAGTAGCAACAATGCCATCTACTGGTCCAAGGGTTCTACCTATGTGTGCTATGGTTCATTTAATGCAACTGGTGTTGGATCTGCTCACTGGGTGTTATACAATGGCAAAGGTTCTTATACTAGCATCGTTAAAGTTCCTTATCCCAAGGTAAGATCAGTTTTTTTGATCATAGCTTAATAAGGTTAAATTCGATATTTCGGTTGTTTTTAGAAATGAATATTTCCGCAATAATTAAATTTCATCAATAATATTCCATTTCATTCAGAGTGGTTCAATCAATTCCAAAGTAACCATTTATGTCACTAAAGCCAACGATGCTGCTACTACCCTTCAATTAATGCCACCAACCGATTTCCTTAACGGGTAATCCTTTTTCGGATATAATCAATTATTAGGTGTTCTATTTGCTGAAAGATTTAAAATTAAGAGTTAAACTTTATTTGACTATGAGCACCTGAAGAAATGATTAGATGAAAAGTGTACGCGTAGATTAGTATTGCCTGCTGTATAGGAGGACATTTTGTGATATTTCCACTTGCATTTAAATTATAAAATAGGGAATATTATTATACCAACGTAGTCTGGGCTTCTGATACTGTGGTTACTGTGACTTGGCTAAACCGATTCTCTAATGTCAGCGCTTTAATGTCATGCGATGCTACCAATGGTCAATGCAGAGAAGTAAGTAGTTAATTTGAAAGGTTTCTGCAAAAGCCTTGCATAGATATTCAGGCAATAGGCGAACTTTCATCCTATTTTATTTGTGAATAGGGTAATCATCGAGTATTAGAATCTGCTACCCTTTAGCTTGATAGATAATTGCGTCAGTGCAACTTATTTGGGATAGTCATAAAATTTTGGGGAGTAGCTGTTCTATCATGTACAATGTACATAATATCATATAAAAAGAAATTAAGATTTTATGTAAGAATAGTTCTGAAACTGGATAGATGACAATCAAGTTGCTACTATGATATCATTTGTTAAGGAATGCAGCGAACGTTGCATTGCCAGAAGTTGATAATTCCTTATACATGTACTGTACATTACATAATACCAAAAAATGCTGATGTAATCCTTTTTTAAGCAAAATTATGGGCTACTTCAAATACTTAGTGCATCTAGTAGTCCATGCATAAGCAATAATATAAATACAGCGGTATTTGCATAGGAATGCTGCTCAAATCATATCGATGGCAGCTAAAGAATATTCTGTACACGGATACGTGTACATATTTTAGAATTTTTTCTGCTAAGCAAATCACGCTGTTCTAGACTAAGTGGTATGATAGTTCACGTTAAAAATTGTTGTAGTCTCAAGATCGTATTGCAACCGGCAGTAGATAACAAATTCCTAATTTGGACTTCATAAATGCTTCAAGCTGGTGATTGTTACCAGATTTAATTTGATATCGTAACATAGACATGCTCAAATGTTTCTGTCGGTAAAAGTAATTTTAGATTAGTTTTATTGTTGTATTTTACCACTAGAAGAAATTGAGTTTCACATCCAATATGATATATACTACGAGGATATGAATAAGCACAAATTGTAAAGTCTACTCATTTATAGAGCTAAAAGTAGTAATAGATCAGTTGCAAACTATAAGTAAGTTCGCATTAGAATGAAACAATTGTAATTATTTATCTGTGTTTAGATCAATCGTGTATCTGAACCTAATGGATGGATCGATTATCACTACGTAAGTCAGAAATTGCATCAATCAAAAGCTTTAAAATTTATTAAATTAAGTACTGATTTTGAATGATATAGTATAGCCCAAAATTTACCACGGCTGGTGATTCCTACTACGCAGTTTTACCTAGGAAGGGATCTAGCGGTAAAAGCTTTTTCCATCTGGCTAAAGTCTCTCTAACGGTAAGTTGCAAAAATTTTAGAGTTTACTTACTCAGTATAATAAGTGGAATAGTCTACATTGATTCTATGTCAGAGCTAGGACTGAACTATAGCATTTGAATTCATTGCCGTGTTTTACATGCTTATACTTTGTTATTGCGTAAGTTCTAACTTAGATACAACATATTTTGCTGTTCAATTTATAGAATAGCCAGAAAACTTGGCTAACCAGTGGAGACTGGCATGTTACGGTCATTTATGCTTACTCTGAATCCAGAAATTTGCTGTAAGTTTTGCTGATTATTAAATTGATGCGTGAATATTTCATTGCTTCTAATTGGCCATGGCTGATTGAAGGTATTTTAAATGCTGATCGTTTATTATAACTACTAGTTTCTTCCAAAGTACTGAAAAGGGCTCTATCACTAGGAATGTATACAGGTAACATAATGACTATCAAGCTAGCATCATAGCGGGTTACCTGGTATAGGCTAAATTAATAGTACTTGCGGCTTCCTTAATTTTATAACATTATAAGGTACAGAGCTCATTCATAATTGATGAACATATTATTTACTAGTATCGCCACAGATGGATCCAATAAGAAATGTTTAAGCTGCAGTGTTAGGCCAAGTAAGGCTCATGAAATCCCCACTCAATAGCGATTGCATTCGTATTCTTACTCTTGCAAATATCTTAATTTTGTTTCATAGATGAATGTGAATATTTTACTGGCTCTTTCAGCTCAAGTGGTAATTACTACGTACTTGGTTGCAGAGGTAAGTTCATATTTCATTAACTTTCTGCTATTGAATAGATTATTCCATAAAATGATATTACATCCGATGGATACTTGATATTAGGTCCTGGTATTCCATCTTACCAAATGATCAATTCTATTACTGGAGCAAGTAAGATCTCATTAATATTGTTTCGAACGATTCACTAAGTCCAGAATATTGTATACCGCAACCTAGATATTATTTACGACAGTAGCGTATCTAAATTAAAATGATTTGATTCTCTTACCTATGACTAGCCTTCGTGATGGAATCTAATGAGCGACTTAAGAATGCTGTTGCAAGTATCACTGTATCCACCCGAGTTTATGGGGAATTTGCTCATGCTGGCTTCAGTAAGTTTTTCCGATTCAATATGCTAATGAGTATTTCAGCTACGATAGCTAGCTCTAGCTGGAATTAGAAAGGGCGTGATACATTGTCATTTATTGATGTAGCTGTAGCTCCCACATTTAAAGTGCAGTATTTTAATTTAATTAACGTAGTTATCTACGATAACTCTGCTACTTTGGTAGTTTCAACTTTCTATTTATATAAACCGATATCGCTGGTAGATTTCTAGTATCGAAGTAAATGATGATTACCACAATATTCTGCAAAGTCTTATTTGCACTAAACAAAATCATTGAGGTGGATTTCCAGTGATCTAAGTAATGATTATTTTGATATTCTGCAATGTCTTATTTGCCCTTATTGAAATTGTTTTAATTACAGTAATAGATTTACGGTCATCTAAATGATAATTACTTTAATATTATCGCTCTTATAGAAATGATTGTACCTTCTTTTTGCTGTCATTATACGATATCTAAATATTTGTTGTCATCTCCATTAATAAGAAATGAACTATGTTATGTATCGTCCCCCTGGATTTGATGCTTCAAAGAAGTATCCAGTCTTTATGTATATGTAAGTCGAGCTATGATATAAAATAAACAGTTCGAATTTACCGTGATAGGAAATACGTTAGTTACTCTAAATATTCTTATCTGAAATTTCATAGCTACGGAGGTCCTCAAAGCCAACGTGTAAGTATTCGAAAATATGTAATAGGAATTTTATCTAGCTTAAAATTGCCAAGATATAAGCATTAAAATCAGCCGAAGCAATATTAATATTTTAAAGAAATGTTATTATCCCAATTATAATTTAATGGCTTATAGGTAAACAAAGAATTTGGTTTAGGCTGGGCAGAATACTTCTCGTCCTACTTGAATACTATTTGTATCGTATTTGACCCTCGTGGTACCGGCTATAAGAGCAATGAGTATGCAAGCTTTAAGCGGATGGACTCATCTTATAATAACTTTAATAAATACATTAATTCCTATTTATTGATCGTCTACTGTGATTTCATTAGATTTATGTACAGCACTTATAAGAAATTGGGTGTACTGGAGGCTCAAGATGTACAAGCCTTTGGCCGGTAAGTATTTTCGGCCATGCATAAACCAATTGGACGAACAATGACTAATTTATAGCATCCTTGGTTGATCGTCATGTAAAAATCTTTGATTTCAATGAAATGTAGTATAATAATGAACAGTAATATGAGCTAGCAAAAATTGGAAATGTACATCTAAAATCTTAACTTAAGGCGTGCATACCGATTAGAGCTTGTGAATAGATTCAATGAGGAATAATAGCTAACGTGTTATCATACTATAACAGATATCTGCAAACACTGCCTTATGTTGATGGTTCTAACATGGGTGTCTTTGGATGGGTAAGTGATCAATTTTCACTACTGCTAGCTAATTCTTAATCCAGGTACAAAAATTTTTACTTCACAATATTTCTGTTGTTACGGTGTAGTCCTACGGAGGCTATGCCACAGGTATGGTTATTGGCGAGAATAATAATGTTTTCAAATTGGGATTGATGGTTGCTCCTGTCTCCGATTGGAGATTCTACGGTAAGAATGGAAGTTGCGTTGATAAGTACTATTATAATAGAGGATATGAATTCATTTTGGTAGTGATTTTATATTAATAGACACCGGTTATACTGAACGCTTCATGTTAACTCCACAAGCGAACCCTACAGGATATGAGGTAAAGTATTGCAGTTAAAAGGCTAATTTTTAGTGTAATACTGCATGCTCATAGAATACGTTAGACCTTACGAAGGCCTACATCAATTGAGCAGATAGGGGTGGTATTTTCTAGCCTTTGCTTTCATAAAAGGTTAAAATTTAGAGTAAGAGATACAATAATTGATACCGAACAAAAACTGATTTTAGTCCTGGATACGATACACAGCAGACATTGTACAGATAGAATTTATTGTTTTCATACCTGATCAAAATCAAAAATAGTTAACATAATCCTTAAAAGTGAGTAAGGCGCAATATTAATCATTATTTAGGACATGCATTTACAGGAATTAGATGCACAGATTACTAAAAGTGTACGAAATTTATATTTATCACATCTGTCTTAGTAGTAATTAAAATCGATATTAATAATCATGAAGTAATATGTGCAAACATGCCGGCTAGAGCTATTTCTATACATTTACTATCGCATGTAAATAGAAAAAAACGCTCAAAATCCTAGATGCTAATCGAGCTCTTGAATGCAATGTTCATTTTTCTTTATTGCAGCAAGCTTCCATCTTGAATCGCTTGGATGGATTCAAGAACGCTACCGTCTTTATTGCTCACGGTAATGCAGATGATAACGTTCATTTCCAAAATACTGCCGTCTTAGCTCATGCTTTGCAAACTAAACAAATTCAGTTTAAGATGATGGTAAGACGCTTCGTTTCTTCTCATACATTGCTTTCGATGTAGATGATATTTAGCTACTCAATTTTAAATTTCAAATACTTACTAGAATACTATCTTTTAAATAGTTCAAGTCTGGAATACTAAATAACTGCTTTGTTATGATGATATTCTAGATGTATCCCAACCGTGCTCATAGTATCCGAGGTGCTGCTAGAAGACATTTGTTCGTTGCAATGACTAATCTCATTTGTAAAACGTTTAATATTGAGAATCCTATGACCAAAGCATAAAGGAACAACAGATTCTAGGATATGGATCACCAAGGTCATTTTTGTAGTTCCGTTAAATGTGGTAGTTTTTTCTTTTGCGAGTTTATCATGCTAGACGGATAAATTAATCTTTGCTTGTTCTATGTAATCCAGTTTTGGTGTCATTTGTAATTTACTTACTTTATTAGTTTTTCAACCTTTGTTTTAATTGATATCTTACAAGTTAGTTGCATCCAATATTGCGATGGATATGCTGTGCATTTAGTCCTTCATGCAATTAGCATAGAGTTGGATTCATAATTTGAATATTTGATAAGTTAAATTCATTTTACTGCAATTCACCTTTATAGTTTGGTAATTTATTAGATAGCTCTTTGCTTCTGTGCTTTAGTCGCTATGGTTATCGAGCAATCGGCCTGATTGAACGGTTACTTAACTTGTTTTTATCAAGAATAGGATGTAATCGCATAACTGAATAAATATGTAATTTCAATTATAGGCCTGTAGTTATTTTGTAATCAATGGGGATATTTTGAAGAAGTTAAAGGGTGGCTTAAACAAATTCAGTAAAAGACGTAACACGAGCTTAAAATGGATAGTATGAATTATGCCATACTATTTTAATCAGGCTATTTAGTTACAGCATCAGCGTGAATCTGTTAAGCTATACTATTATTTATCCGCACATCAAGTTATCGTTTATTTGTTTAGTTTAGAGTATACAGAGATGGATAATATACTAATGAGATACAGATATCCCCAACATCCGTCTACGAAGGTATAAATAATTTATGAAATTGAAACTGCACTAACGTGGTTATAACCACTGTAGTACGCTAGTTCTTAGCTAGCCTGATGGATTTAATTGTATCAGTATTGAAAATCCAGTTCTTGAAATTTAACTTGAACTGATATCGCAGCTACCATATGATATTCTATTTTATAGTATTAGTACTATTTAGGGTTTAGGCTAATTAATTGCAGGTTTACTGCGAATCTGATAAGCTATGCTGGTGTTCATCCACACATGTAGTTGTCAGTTATTTGTTCAGATGACGGTATAGAAAGATCGATGATAGACGAATAGGATAAGTATATCTCTAACACACGTCCACGAGGGTAGAAATAATTTGCGAAATTTAAACTGCACTAATGTGTTTATAGCTACAGTAGTAGGTTAGTTCTTACTTGGCCTGTTGTATTTATTGATGTCAATATTGAAATCCATTTCTTGAAACGTAACTTAAGCTGATACAGTATTGTAGCTACTTTGTGCTACTCTATTTATAGTATCAGGACTATTTAAGATTTTAATAAACGGAGATAATTCAAAGATTCTGCAAAACAATCAAGTTATGAATATTGTATCCATAGGCCAAAGCAGAAACTGTACTCGAGACCAAAACTCGACCACTTTACGTCTACCAGTTTAGGCTGACTTTGCAGCCGCCAATATTTGATTTAGTGAGATAATAAGGTATGAATAAATACATTTACTTCGGCGATACTCTACAGCGTAAATTTTACTCATTCATTCTAACAGCTATAAAGTAGGATTTTACACTGTTGTAATTGGCATTTTTAGTTTTAGTCAAGCTAGAAATTTTTATCATAATATTTACTCCGATTTAGTGTCTCAGAGTACCTGCATCACCTAAATAAAGGTAGTTACAAATCCTGTAGAGATTAGCTTGCTCTTTGTGGTCTTTAAATACCATAGGAAGAATTAAAAAAATCTATATTGAATCAGCAAGTGATCTATTGTATAAGTCACTCTTGTATCTATGTATAACTTGACTCTACGTATAAAGTAGAATTAAATGCTTTCAAAGGTAGATGGAATCCTTTTGTAAATTTAACTCGTTGTACTAATGGATTACTCTCAATATACGTATATCCAGTTTTCATGTAAATAATTGCATATGATTGTTATATAAATCAAATAAACTATTTTTAACCCAATAAAATAAGCCTGTAGGCTAACTTTTGGCTTTAAAACTCAAACAGTAAAGGTAAAAACAGCTGCATGGTCTATTAGATAATATATGTAATATATTTGAGCTCCACCTGGCAAGATGGTAAGTGTTGACTCAGCCCTGGACGATCATTCTATGCACTATCGTAATTTCAGCATATTTTCACATTCGCTTAAACAGTCATAAAAAACTGGCTCACAAGATTTATGATATTGGGATGGGCAAATGCTAACAAAAGTGTTTTGCTTCCGATTTGATCATTTTAATCTTTAAATTATCTATTCATACCCTATAGACGAACACTAATTGCCATAGTAGAATTCCTATACCTAATTGTGAGTTGAGTAGCTATACTGAAAGTTTAACAATTATGGTAAGTTAGCTAGAATAGTTTTGGCTGGATTTCTTGTTCGATATTCTATCAATAGAAATTCTACCTCCTTAATGTGTTCTTTTAAAGATCTTGGTGTTAATGATAGTAAATAATTTTAATTTTGATAACAATTTTTACTCCAAATGTGTCATTAATCGATAGTTAATATCTGAAAGAAGTTAAATTAAAATTTAAATTACAGAACTTTGTTCATTTATATAACGATTTTATTAGTAGCTCTAGGTTATAGTATTTGTCATTGATTAAGCAATAATGACGATATTATAGCCAGTCTGATCAGAAACTTGTTGAGTTACCTTCCGAATAAACTTTACATTACGCACCTTTGCTTCACAAGTCCCCAGTCAACCCAGGAAAGACCAAATCTTTCTCAGTTTTCATTCATATCAAGCTCCAACGTTAATGGTACGTTGATTAATTTAGGTATTATTTTATTCATTTAGGGGACTCCTAGAATTCAAATTCGAAATACGGATCGAAAGACCTATATTTTAATCGGGTCAATAATTTTGTTCGTTGGTGCTATTGTAGGAATTATAGCAGTAACTATATATTTAAGAAGTTAGTTTGCAACTTAAAATAATCTTAAGAATTAAGGATGGTGGAGCTGATTCTATCCAGTCCCTCTATTTTTTACGCATTATTCAATCCAGTTTTAGTTGCGAGGCAGTCGAAATTTAAACTAACTTGAAATCATAATGATATTGACTAGACAGCAACATTGATGCTCAACCGCCTAGTTACCAAGGCCGTATTTATGGATTCAGCCAGCTTTTCAACTCTTCATTTAATCCACAGTCAGTCTATGTGAGCTGGCTTAGCGGTATATTGATCCACTCCTCTTTTAATATTAATATTAATTTTCTTTTCCCGCTGTCAATATAGATATGTCGAATCGCTTATCTTTCTATCTTCTTAACATGATAGATACATCCTATGAATATAACAATGCAGATGGAGATCTTATAGAATACAATGTTGATACTAATACTTCTAAAACCCTTCTAACAGCATCTGAAAAGGTGAGATTTTCTTATTCTTTGAACTATTTCTCCTAGAACTATAAACTAGTTTACCTCTGCTAGCTCTTATGGTTTGAATAAAATTGAAAGTACTAAATATATTCTAGTTTATTGCCTTAATAAAATCAAGTACTGGCAGTAATGCATTATGCAATTATAATTCCATGCAATATAAATTTCCTTTGCATAGGCATCACTTAAAGGGGAAAGGACTTGGATTAGTCCTGATGGCCAATATTTATTGCTAGCCTATGAAGTGAAATTGGTGTGTTAATCATTTAAATTCATAATTGCAATGAGTTCTATAGACTAAATCAGTGCCTATAAGAAAATCTATTATGGTTCTTTTAATAGTAGATCTAGCTGTCTCTTCTTAGCAATATATCTTCCGAAAGATATATCAGATATTTATTCAGTGTCTCTTATGCTTTTTCTAATCTATGTTTGCTTAGCAATATCGATATTCTTTCTTTGCACGTTACGTGGCTTACAGGATCTCAGATAAGTAAGAATTTGATTTCGTTCGTCATTTGTAATCGGATTATCTAGCGTAATCAGTCTAAGACCTGCCGTCTTCTTTAATTTGGTTTACTATGAACAATAATAGTTACATCTTGATCGTAGATTTTGGCTGGTATTTAACTTTACGTTATTAGTTCGATCCGAACTATGCATAATCGTAATTTGTTCTAATATCAGGATATTAATAAAACTTTTTAACTTGTAAATTTATTTAGAATTCAGTTAAATTCAATAATGAAATCATTTATAGCAATTCACTGATATATCTATATATAACATCAAGGCTAATTTCCGTTACGAAGCTATAAATTCTCCTTCATTAATGAAATAGATAAACATTAACTATTTATAATTGAAGTAAAGCTAAGATTTGCTTCATATTTTTAGAGAATTCATCGAATGAAATGATAATGATACGCTAATTATATCATGTAATTTAATTTATTTTTCATCAAGAAAAGTATTTCGCCTGGAGCCTATGGGAAGTAGTAAACTATTGCGATATATGGGCTGGTCAGCTACAGGTCACCAATTGGTAAGAAATTGAAATTTAGTATTTTGGTAGAAAATAGATTGAAGCTCCGGGTCATAATAGCTTCGACATTCGTTAATCTTACGGTATAAGATTTGAGATAATAAGATGATATTCTAAGCTCTTTAAATTATGTAGTGAAAACTTCCTTTACAGACGCAATTAACTACTTATTTGATAATAATTAAAGCTTTGCAAATGGTGTATACATTCTCTTTCACTAGGCATTTATCTATCTAAACGATATATACGTTATACCTGATCCAACGCAAGGGAATGCTTCTGTCCGATTAACAAATACTGGAGTTGATGGAATTATTTTTAATGGTGTACCGGATTGGAATAGCGAAGGTAATTATCTCAAATCAAAAAAATATCTGCTGCAAATTAGGCTATTAGAGAATTGAGATCAAATTTATAGTAATTTAGCCCCAAATTTTAAATTTAAGAGCTGCTGCATTACCGACTACATTATAGCCTCAATGCTGCAATAGGGAACTGTGTACTTGTATACTCCATAATGCTAACATTATAAAATTTTAGCGAGAAATATCGCTATCTTCTTTAACACCCTTGAATTGCATATTCTTGCATCATTATCTACCTTAGAGGAAATTTTATATAGTAGTAATGCACTATATTGGTCTAAATCGTCTACCTATATCTGCTATGGGAATTATAATGCTAGTGGAGTTGGTTCAGCGCAATGGATGTGGTACGAAGGGAAAATGTCTTATACTACAGTTAAATCGATTCAATATCCTAAGGTAAAGCGTTCAATCCTGTTAATGTTGAATATTTTCTCGTCGATTCTTATTGTCGCTCCTTTTATATCTTTCTTTTAGGCTGGTACTAAAAACTCTAAAATAGCAGTCTATGTCACCAAAGCAACGGATGCTAGAAACGTTGTTCAGCTACTTCCCCCGGCAAAATTTGCTAACGAGTAATGATAATTGGTCACGTAATCTAGTAGAAACTTGTTCATAGGTTTTCAATTGCATATATTCTTACGTATTGTTTGGATAAATAAGATAATTTATTACATTCAATTTAAATGATTTACTGCTGGCAACTTCAGCATTTTCAATATCATTTATCATTTTGCCCATTTGGAATAGAGAATATTATTTCACTAATGTGGTTTGGGCATCCGATACTATTGTTACTGTGACGTGGCTAAATCGATTTTCTAACACAAGCATTTTAATGTCATGTGATGCAACCAATGGGCAATGTCGGCAGGTGAGATGTAAAATAATCCAAGATATTTAATGCAATTTCGCCTTTATTGCACAATTTCAGTTTGATATGTACGTCTTAATTTTGGCTCAATACGAATGCTGATAAGACATGTCTACGAGTTGCTACTATTTTTAAAGCTAAATCTAGTCTCAGAAATAATAGCACTGAAAATATTGTAAGTGCACTAGTATATTGAAATATTAAAATTACGTTTGCAGATATATATCACAAGAACACTAACCAACATCAATCGTTGCTTAATTCTATTCTCGTCTTTTAATAATGCTTATAATTATTTTAAAACATTTCAATCACTGACTATATGAAAAACTATAGCTAACATAATTGGGCTACATAATCTACATATTTCTATACTTAATATATTAAACTATTAGAATTTCGTTTACGGTTGTATATCACAAAGACTGCTTGCCATGCAATAATAGTTTTTATCTAAAATATTTCAATCATCGGCTGCACTAGAAACTGTAATCAATTTAATTGGATGACATAGCCTATTTACTTCTATATTCAACTATAATTCTTTAAATAGATTCATCATCTAACACAATCAAACGGCTGGATAGACTACAAATATGTAAGTTTCATAGATTTTGGACTATGCTCAATATTTCATTTACCTTCGAACGCGGACATATCATAGGCTATATTCTACTAAAACTAATTGAAACTAATGTTTCTCATTTAATGTATTTAAAACTTGTGGATAATTACTAGAAAAGCCCATTATTCAATTCCGCTGGTGATTATTACTTTGCTGTTCTTCCTAAGAAAGGTGCGAGTGGAAAAACATATTTCCATATAGCTCGAGTAACACTTTCGGTAAGTTAATGCCACTGTAAGTACAGGAATATCTTAGATTGAAATGTTATGTTATACTGGAATAAGCTAATGCTGGCCTTCTTTTGCACGTCAGAAAGTATTCATATACCATAAAGTAAATTCGTAAAGAGGTTAATAATATCTTAAAATCTTGAATTTTATCACTTATCGTTCTCATATAGGACGGGAGAAAATTTTGGTTAACTGCTGGCAACTGGCAAGTTACAACTATTTACGCCTATTCCGAAGCCAGGCAGTTGATGTAAGCTAGTGGAAATAAAGTCTAGGTTTTGTCCGAATAGGAAGGATAGTCTATTCAACCGCATATTTATTTAACATTTTTTTAGCGTAATTCTTCTTCTATCTAAGATTATATACTATTCATTTAAATCTTTAAATGTCTGTGTAAAAATTATGTTTTGGGTTTAAATGAGAAATGTAGGGATCGAACAGATATGTACTTGTGTAATCTTATTGTAGATAAATTAGTTGTATAATATAGCTATATTATACAACTAATATTATGCTACATACCACATAATTTATTGTTTTAGCTTGCTCATTTAATAGGGCTTAAACCGATATTCCGCATGTAACATATCTTTACAATTTTAATTACATAAATTGATGAGCTAATATACTGCTGAAGCGAACTGAGTTATATAAGTGATGCCATAAGTACAGCTAAACAGATCCAATTCATTAATAAAATTTTTAAGATAGCAATATCTTGTTATTATTTGATATCCGCTACAGTTTTACTTATTAAGCTGATAATATAATTTAATATAATCATATCTATATGAACAGATTTTTTCAGAGTACTCAACTAAGTTCTACCAGTAGAAATATTTATAGGTAAGAAGGAATAAAGTTATTGCGGTAATATCTTTAAAAAGATTCTTGCAAAGAGAAAGCCTCTAATTTTTTTTTAATTTCAATTGCCAATTAACTCTCCATTTCATATCTGCAGTGTTTCGATTAATGGTACTAATAAGAAATGTATTAGCTGTAATTTTAAGCCCATTGGTAAGGCTATACTCATAAATATCGATATATAGTATAAATTGTGTTACTAGCGTGGCTATTATCTGATAAGATAAATTTATTGTCAGAGGAATGCAACTTCTATACTGGTTCATTTAGTACAAATGGACATTATTGCCTACTTGGTTGCCGAGGTATGAAATTTTTATCTCATTTCTAACGCAGTATTTGATTTGTCTTTTATACTTAAAATGATTGATGATATCACTTTATCTCCCCTAACTATACTCGATGACTATAATTATAAATTGCTAGTAAGAAATTTTGCTGTAGTCCTTTCTACTGAATACTAAATGATGTATAAGCATCTATCATTGGTATCCATTTTAGGTCCAGGAATTCCTTCCTATCACCTTATCAGCACTCAATCCAATCTTCGTATGTATATAAAAATAGGCCAATTCCTAAAATTTGTTATTCATACTAATAATTTAGCCTTACTTTTACCTCAGATGTGACAATGGAAACAAATCAACGCCTTAGAAATATACTAAAAGACATTACATTACCCAAGCGCGAAATTATGGAGTTTGAACGCGACGGATATAGTTAGTTGATTACTTCTATCTTATCCTCGATTTATAGGCTAACTTTAATAATTTTTAGGAATATTAAATCTAAAATGATTCGATGTCAGCAATAATTTTCTATTTTCTTCCCTAATCAGAGATGAACACTTTTATTTATTATCCTCCTGGATTTGATAAGGATAAGCAGTATCCTGTGTTAATGTATAAGTGAGTACCATCATATTTTCTACATGATTTTGATTTTTCTAGCTTGTTGATGTCATGAAATTATAATTTTAAACTTCAACAAAGTTATGGTGGGCCACAAAGCCAACTAGTAAGTTTACTTTCAGAAATTTTTGCTTCTCATTTTCCGATGCATTTTAAATTTCTTGTTAGTTTTAGATTATTATTCATTCCACGATCACTAGGTCAATCAACAATTTGGATTAGGATGGCCAGAATATTTCTCGTCCTTTTTGCAAATGATTGTTATTACCATCGATCCTCGTGGAACTGGCTATAAAAGCAATGAGTAAAACATCCTTTTCTTGGCCTGATAATTGTATTGGTTGAAACTAGGATCAATTTTGCTATTTTCTAAAATTTTTAAATTATTGCTATGATCTTCATCTATGTATTAGGTTTATGTATAGCACATACTTGAGAATGGGTGTACAAGAAGCAGAGGATATCATTGCCTTCGCAAAGTTCGATTCACTTCAGTTTCATTTGCATTATTTACTGATTTTAATTTTAAGTAAATAGTATTGAGTAGACAATGTAATTGGTAGCTAATTGATAATCTGCAATTACTCCATGACTGAATAATAGAGCAAGGGCAGTCATAAACTTAAATATATTGATTAAACTAATTTTATTTTTCGAAAGGTATATTAAAACATTCCGTTATGTTCATAAAAGTAAAGTGGGCATATTTGGATGGGTAATATGCTTGTTTTGATATATTATTTTCTAGTTTCCTTAACTAATAGAATTAAACAATATCAAGAAATTTTAATATTGAATTAATTAATAGTCCCATGGGGCCTATCTTGGAGGTATGGCTATGGGTATTAATGACCATGTTTTCAGTTTGGGTCTACTTGTTGCTCCAGTATCTGATTTTAGATTTTATGGTAAGTAGAAAATTTGTTAAGCCTTGCCTATTCTACTGATATCCAAATTTCCCTGGAGCAATAATAGCCAATTTATATACCTTAATATCGTTAATGATTGGCAACTTCGTATAATAGATACTGGTTACACTGAAAGGTTTATGCTTTCACCTAAAGAAAACTTAAAGGGCTATGAAGTATGCAAGTTCTCATTGCCTGTATTTTTTCAGTTAGCAAGATTTATTTACATCTAAGATTGAGTTAATTGAAAAATATGCAATAAAAAAGTGGATAGTATTAAAAATTGAGCAAAGTTTTTGACATTATTGTTATATATCTCTTAATTTAGCGTACACGTCTCTGGAACTCTTTGTTATATGTATATTTCTTCTGTTAATTATTATAATATCTGATATGTGAGCATATATGAAATTAATTAGCAAAGAATGAAAAAATGTACTATATAAGGTCGGAAAGCATCTAAAGTACTGCAAGTTAAACTGCTTAATCGTTAGATTTAATTTTTGTGTCCATAAAAATGTTGGTCAGCTACTACGCCATTTATTAGCATCTTCTATCTGGTAAGGTGAATCATTGTTTATAAATTAGGAAGCTTCAATCCTCAATAGACTGGATGGATTCAAAAATGCGACAGTTTTTATTGCTCATGGCAATGCCGACGATAACGTTCATTTTCAAAATAGTGCAGTCTTGGTTCAATCATTGCAGGAGAAAGGAATCCAATTTAGAATGATGGTAAGTAAAAGTTTGCAGTAGTGCAGCTAGCAGTTGATATCAAGTACGTTTATTGATCTATATAGAGCTCATAATTAACTGTGCTTACTCCATATCTGCAGATGTATCCAAATAAAAATCATAATATTGATGGTTATGGAAGGAAACATTTATTTGTCGCCATGACCAATTTGATTGCGGAAAAATTTGTTTTAGCTAATCCGTTCCAAAATAATTAAATTATAAAATTCTTGAGCTTTGTTGTAGTAAAATTTGGGTTGGTTTAGGCGGCTTTTATAAATTTCCAAATTTGCAATTCAAAAATGTGTTGCTTCGAAATATAGCATCAAGCTACTATCCAAAAATACTAAAAATATAAAGTATTTTCTAATTTTCTTGCTTAGTATTCCTATTCTCTTTAGTTATGAAAAAGTTAAATTCTAACTATGGTATCCTAGTATCGTAAACTTCATAGGAAAAAATTAAGCAAAAAATTGAAAATTTGTTAATATTGTTATCAATGGTGTCATACTTGAAATAATTGTAAATCTTGCATAGCCCACGCATCGTATCTAGATTTAACGACCAGACGTCTAGCTATTCGGTCACATCGCTGACTATGATTACTATCTATCTACTTTATTTCAATGATTAAATATGATCTTTCTCATCTTTCTTTCTGTTTGATACTTATTTGTATGCTGTTTGGATTTATAGATTTCTGTCATCGTTCTGATTTAAAACTAGCATCAGTACGATCTGGTTCAGTCACTTGTTAAATTATTTACAGATAAGTTACATTTAAGACTAGGTTTTTGATATTGTTTAGTTAGCTTCGCCGAGTTAAATTATTAATATTGTTCGATTTAGGCTTTATTTGAAAACTATTAGATTTTATCCGTATTTTTAAAAGATATATACGTTCATATAGATAGCTACAAATGAAAAATTAGTGGTATTATTAATGCTAGTTTTATTTGCAGCCGTGATCAAGATTGTTTGTCTTATATACTCGTACGTCAGTGAAATATCTTTCTGAGATCATATTTGTGATAAAAGCTCCTGCTTTAGCTACAACGTAATCACTACATTCTCAAACAGTATTATCTACTTAATTAGTACCAATAGATGATATTAAATCTGTATCAACATCTTGCTAAAACTCTTCATATATGCTGCATAAAAAAGTACCATTTACTGCATTAATTTTAGCTTATAATTTAAATTTTTTAAGCTCAATAATCAACTGATGCGATGTTCATTTCAGAACAAGATCTAGATTCGCCATTAATGTTAGTTTACATTGGAATGATTGTTAAGACTTTCCATGAACTACAACCTGAGAATCGACATTGGCATAACCTACATAGAACCTAAAAATACTTGTTTTACGCGTAATTTCCCAATAATTATTTCTAGTACGCGCTTTCTTGCGCCATAGCTATATTTTTACGTTAAGTCAATCGCAGTTTTCCTCCCAATAGTACGATAAATATACATTTGGTAATAAAAAAGCTAATTTCTCTATAAGTCACAGCAACTAGCAACCTCAGATATATTCCTAATGGTATATATATATTTTATTAGAAAATTGTACATCAATTCGGTTATCATTATAAAATAGTGTCAATTATCCAGGCATCGGATAAGTCGACCATATTGCATGAAATAAAAGTTCAAAAGTGAATAAGAAATATTTCTACACTATATCTATCTGATAGATTCGCATAAACTCAATTTTGAGCTACAATTATAAAAAATGGGCTTTACTGTCCGACCTTCAACAACACATTACGCAAATACATTGCAGTCAATTTTTTTACAGAAGATGCAATCGATAAGATTTATAAAAATTCATCGCTGCTATCAAATCGAAGAAATAACATAATGTAGTTAATTTAAAGCACAGGCCAATTTTTTAATATAGAGATGTTGAATAATAGAAAATTGGAAATACTTTACGAGCATTTAGCAATCTCTGATGGATAAAACGCAGCATCAGAAATTATAGTAAGAGATGCAAAGGTATCAAAAAAGAATCTTTCGAGAGCTGGAATAATTTGAATGAAATTATGAGATCTTAAATAAAGTTTAAAGCGAATATATTTAAAAGGTTCCATAGCACAGTAATAATAGTAAATTATATGTGGCCAATATCATGGTGTTTATAATGCATACAATGGTAGCAGAATTTTTCAATATCGAGATCAATTTTTTAATTATAGCTATTGATAATTGATTTGAGAAGGAACTGTATTTTCATCTAAACTGTAGCATGGCATCCATATGTAATTTTTCATTTACCTCTTGGTTAAACATCTTCTAATTCTAACATTTTTTCTACGCTTGCTATAAGCTCCCGTTCGGGCTTTTTCCCATTTAATCTTGCAGCATCACGTCGTACCATTTCAGGTAATAAATCAAAGTAGGAAAAGACAAATGATCGCGTGATGTTGGAAAATTTCTTGATTCCATTATGATCTTTATTAATTCCTAATTGCATGAAATGGCGTTGTAATGCTTTAAGCTTTAATTGCATCATTTTCTTTTCTAAATTTCGTCGCTCATTTTCTTCTCGTTCATGACGAATTTTATCCAAACGTTCTTTCTCAGCAAGTAGACGCAATCTTTCCTCTTCTTCTTTTCGTTTCAGTTCTAGTATTGCTTGTCGTTCAGCTTCTTCCATTAATCGGAGTTTTTCTTCTTCCATGGCTCGTCGTTTTGCTTCGGCTTCTTTAGCTCGACGTAATGCTGCTAACCGTTCTTCTTCTTCTTGTTTTAATTTTTCGCGTAATTCTGCTTCTCTATTTCTTGCTTCTTCCATTAATCGCTTTTCACGATCTTGTCGTTCCTCTTCTTCACGAATTCGAATATAACGCTCTTCTTCTTCCTGCTTTAATCGTTCTTCTTGTTCTCGCTTAGCTCTTTCATATTCTTCTTGCTTCCTTCTCATTTCTTCCTCAGCTTTACGCTTTAATACTTCAATTCGTTGTGCCTCTTCAGCTTCTCGCTTCTTCATTTCTTGCCTTTCTAATCTTCTCTGTAGAACACGTTGTCTTTTTTCTTCAGCAGCTAATCTTCTCCTTTCAGCAGCTGACAATTTAACAATGTATTCACCATCGCTTTCTTCATCGGATAACTGACTACTTTTCCTAGGTATTTTGCTTTCTCCACCTTCATCAGCTGGTAATTCGGGCACCATATCGAGTTCTTCATCTAGTTCATCATCTTCAAGCACTATTTCTTCTGTTTCTTCAGGAATAACTTCTACTTCGGACTCGCTCACTAAGCTATGACTCCTTACTTTTGCTTTTTTCTTCGGTTTCTTCTTTAACTTAGATCGTTTATTACCTAATATATCGCTCATGCTGGGTTTGCGAAGAACTTTACGATCACGTGGTGCTGCAAAAGTCGCTGCTACTTGTTTCTTAGGTGATTTGGCTTTGGCTATCTTTTTCATTTCTTGAGGTAGAAATTGCTTTAAGCGTGCCATGGATGATTCGATGACTAATCTTTCCTTTTCCCTGGCTGTTAATTTAACCTCAGGGATTGGAATAGCCTCATGAACATGATCAGGGCTTAATAACTGATCGACTTCATGAAAGGGATCATCAACATCAGCCTCGATTTCTTCCTCTTGAACTGTCTCATCGTCACCGAAATGGCTCACGTCGGGCTGTAATTCAATTTCCGATTGCTGGCTTGGGATAGATATTGCTTTACCTAAAGCTTGATTAGCACTGTTACCTATTGATGCTCTTTCAGCTAGTATAGCTGCTTTACTTGCATTCTCATCATCGGTAGAATGTTGCCATTCCAATAGATCTTCGCTGATTTTAGTTTTCTCCAAATCAAGATCATCTTTACTATGACGAGTTGCAGCACTTGGAAGTCGAACTATTTTCTCTGCAGCTAATTCTAGAATAGAAAAATTAAATTATATCACATTTATGATTTACCAACTATCTAAGAGATTATGGTAGGTAAGAAAACTATTTATTTCTATTTCATTAGCATTTCTAGCATACGGTACCTATTGCAGACAGACTAGAAGATCGAGGAATGCTTCTCTGATTGGCTTCTGCTAGTTCTTCTACTTGTTCACGTGTGAAAGAATAGGCTTTGGAGGGACTAGAGCGTCTACTTTCTGAATTGAGATCTGCTTCATTTATACCTGTAATTTCTTCTTCTTCTTGCGTAGAGAGGGCATCATCTTTTACCATTTCAGCTAATCATAAATAGAAGCAATTAAACATTGGCATATGACCTGCTATGAGGCCGTTTATCAAAATTTCAATCTGCTCTACAGTAACTTTCTACAAGGCCATGGAAAATACTTGTTCTCTGCTGTATGGGTTGGGTCTTATTTAATGTTCTAATGATATTATAAATGTCCATTGATAGATTCAAATGCGAAAATGGGTAGCATAACTTAGCTTATAAAAATAATTTTCAACGCATTTGCTTTCTTACCTGCAATTGCTTGCAACCGTTGAGTAAATTCTGTTTCTGTAGCGGATACAAACAGCTGATTTTCAGCTAGCTTAGATTCTGTTTCAAAGTTGTCTAAATCTTTATGATTTGCGATGCTACCCTTTCCGAATGAGCTAGCACCTCCAATATAAGATCCTATTTCCGCCGCTTTATTAACCCATAAAACGGAGGCAGCTTGTAAATCCGATATAATACTCGCTCCAGCATCATCACTAAGTTTATAAAACAAGAAGAAAAAAGGTCAAGATGATAATTGCTTATTAATTTAATAACATTCATTTGAAATAGGATACTAATAAATGAATGTCTATCTAGGATGCATCGGTAAACTTACTTATCGAAGACACTTTGGGCAACTCTGGATGCCACACGCCCCAAGACATTAAAAGCGGATTTTGTATTCTGAACATGACCAGACTGATCTGGTAGATTAATTAATGATGAGTTTTCCAGGTCATCGCCAGCCCAATTTTGTTGGTGGTCTTCCTCTAATTCGACATTTTGGTTAACTAAGATCGGAGGGAGAACACCTTCCGCAGTAGAACCTCTCCTTGGAGTGCGTGATTGCAATGATGAAATAATCACTGCATCACTTAATTTATTTTGAACCGATTGCCAATCTTGCATGGACGTGGCTGCACTAGCTCCTCGACTGATAGCTCTAGACAATTTTTTGCTTTGTTCTACTACTGAATATTAAGAATAGATCCTGATTAATCACGGAAAAATTAGCCGCAACATTCAGCTATCTGCTATGTCTGTAAGTTTTAACGTGCTCATATTGCTAATAGCACCGCTACAAATAATAAATAATGATTTGAAGAAACGACTACCTGAACTGTATTTTACGGTATTACCAATTTTATTATATCAAGACTGAGCAACTATGTATGCTAAGAACTTAGATAGTACTTCGTGCAGCATAAGTGCGAAAACATTTATTATAAAGATGTACATAGTTGCACAATTTAATTCTAGGTAAATCTTTGCAATGATGGGATGCACTATATACGTATATACTCATATTTACCTGTTGATTGGCTTTCATCCTTCAGTTTCCGCAAGACATCTTGTACGTTGGTAAAATCTTCTTCAGTATCTAGCCATTCATTCAGGCGAGGTAGATATTTACCATCTTCTAACCTTTGCTGTGCCTTATCATTATACATTGCAGCTATGCTGTCATGACCACTATCATGACTAGTAATTGATGCTTTTGCACTAGCTGGTCTTAAAGCTCGGCTATAAGGTGATCTTCCACCTCCATGAACGCTAGCTCGGCTTTCTAAGCGTGCTTTGAGTAAGGGACTACTTTGTGGAGCACTTTGAGGACGATCATAAACAACTGGTCTTGCTGACATGCCACCTGTTTTAGGCAATCCATCGCTATGGATACTAATATTGCTTGAATCATCATCTTCATCAACTTCATCAAATATATCAAAATTGTGTTCAGCACCGAATGTAATACGATTTGGGATAATAATTTTCCTTTTACCCGATGATACGGAATAGTTATGACCATTAATGGTGCTAGTGCCATCGGTATCTTTGGCAGCATAGTCAGTAGTAATACTATTGCTTGGTTTGTTAGATCGCTTCCAACCAATTCTAGGATATTCACTTAAATTGGTTGGGTTAATTCCATGCCGTTTTTGATGATAATGCTTATCTTCAAGTAAGGAATGCTTAACTCCAGCTTCGATATTATCCTTGTTCTGTACAAGTGTGGGTTGTTTTTTCATTCTGATTCGATTTTCTGGCTCATCTTTAATAATTATGTATTAAAAAAAGATTAAATACTTAACCAATGCTGACAGATCCTCTTTAGTGATAGAGGAGAGAGTGCAAATGCTACAGTATTGATTTAGCTAGCAACAATGCAAACTTCTATCATTTACCTTCCGGATAGGCAGGCCTGCCAGTACGCCATGACTGCAAGCTCTCATCATCTTGTTGGCCACTTAGACTATCAAATTCATTATCGAATAGCTGCAGACGATTATAACCAATTTGTTGTATTTTCTAAAAAAATAAAAATTATAATTGATCAGATTTAGACTAGAATTAAGTCAGGATGATGTTGTCCTAAAATTTGGATCAAAGAATTCATGTGTTTTATTACTAATGCTGATAGATACCTTTGGACTTGCTGTCCCCATCGTGGCATGATGTCCTTCTGTTGAATTAAAAGGCAATGATTGTCCAGGAAAGGATCCATCATCTTGAAATAAGGATTGGATATTAATAACAGCAGGATTATGATTCTCACCATCACTGCTATTCAATGACACATTTAATCGATCGGTATCAAATTGCGTTCCTTCTGAGCTCTCGTAGTTGTATGATTCTACACGTCGAGCATTATTCATCGCATAGGGATATTTGGATTCTTTACTAGGTAATTGAGCAGTAAACCCTGAATCGATGGATTCACTATCATGACTGCGAGGATGGGGTGGAACTAAAGCAGTGACATCTTGATTAACGGGGGAATTGGAGCCTCGTGTACTTGCGCTGACAATGGAAACATCTTGATTACCAGATGTTCCTCTAGTTAAATGAGCATGAATAATTAATTTACTGATGAGTTTTTCCTTGTCCGAGCGATTCAATTGCTGATAAACAATTTTCGGCGGTTGGACTCGTTGTAAAGCAACTTGAAATTCATCTTCGCTATCTTCATCTTCTACTTCTTGTTGGGTACGTTGTTTACGTCGACTTGGAGGTGTCGGTTTCCATGGAGATACTATTTCATCGCGACCATCATCGGTGTCGAGAACGCATGCATGACTATAAGCAGCTACAGCAGGATCTTCACCACTACTAGCTTTGCTAGCTACCCGTGAATGCCTTAGTCGATTGATTTTAGGTAGTGCTTTAAATTTAGACCAAATTTGTTGGCGTATAACATCAATTTCTTGCTGATTATCAACTGCTCCGTAAGACAGATTATGATAAGATAGTCGGTCATGTCGAGCAGCTGATGGTTTGTCGGTAGGTGTTGCTTTTTTCTGCTGTTCTGGATGGGGAAATTGGGGTTTAAAATGATTCATGGACCAAAAGTTACCATAAACGGGTGGTCTGGGCTTGGTATTCTTAGCATAATTGCTCCATTTGTGCCTGTTTTCAATATTGTAATTAGGACACCAATTTTCGCTTACCATAGATTGGTTCGGGTCGTAGACATATTGATGTTTATAGGGATCTTCATGTTGATGGTAGTGTGAGTGATAGTGACCCTAATCAAAAATAAATAAGCAGTGGATGTATAGGTGAGTTTATCGGTACTCAACAATTTGTAAAATAGTTCGAAAATAGAGTAGCTATCGGTACTGCTAGTCTAATTATGGAAAAAATTTCATCGCTGGAGTATAGATGATGGCGGATATAAAAATAGAATGCTGGTGCATGTGATTAATTCGTATACTGTAGGTTAATTTTATAAATATCGATAGAGATTTTATCGTCATAAATAAATGCAGGCATAAAGAAGAAATAAATTTGAAACACGGTGCCTTAATTTAGACTAATTCATGAATAAAGCGAATTTTTACTTTTAGGAGACTACTAGATAAGAATTCAACTTTATATTATGACATCCATTCATTTATTTCAGTGATACTAAGTTAAATAAGACTTATGCATTGACAGATAGCTAGCATCATAAGAACTTACTTTTTGCCTTTGCTTACTAAAATCGAAAATGGAACGTTGCAATTCGCCGGTAGTTTTAATTCCAACGGGTTCAACATCGTGAAATCCGGGGACTCTACGAAATTGACCTTCATAATATCTGGTATGCGGTGGTGGTGGCGAAATATCCGATGAAAATAAATATAGAGCTCCTTTCTTGGTCATAAATGTCTTAGGCAGGTGCATAGATGCCTTCCTTGCTTTAGTGATTTTTCCTAATGGTCTTGACCTTCGGATACTTTTAGATGGATAAAAGTATGAGTGTGAATCTCGCGGATGTAAGACATCGTCTCGAATTTGATCCGTCTGTAAATTGGAAGTATAATTTATTTAATTTGATATATTTATATTAATTGCATTAAATATGTATGAGGGCTTTCGATAGATTAAAAGTAATGAGCTAAAGTTTAGTTATCGTGGGATTGTTGAAGAAATTGAGATCTTAGGCCTATTTGAGCTTGACTATATAGGAAAGCATCGTGAAGATTTTTGGCAGTATAAGATTGACTAAATATAGTTATGATAGTTCAGTCCTCAGTAGAGAAAATTACTGGGCTATAGAAATGAGCAAAAACTAGGTAAGGGAACACGCATCATTTACTAGAGTTAAATTCGTTCAAAGTCTGTAGATGACATTCACTTTTCTTGATCTTTTATAGGAAACTTTGGAAAGATCTGGAAAGTGGATAGCTTGATTAAAAATTTCGTGATATTGTAGGCATGTTTTGTTATTAGGATGGGAAAGATTAAAACTTAGATAATTCATAATAATATGAGCTTAGAAAGCCATAAATTATATAGTTATTCAAGGACATATTCTTATCCCACTTAGCGGTAGCAGTGTGCAAGAGCGTAAAAATTATTATTTAAGGAATATCTTCCCTACGTTAGAATTTAAGCCATCAGATTGACTGTATTGATCAATTTAAAATTAAGTAAGAAATTTTAAATCTATTGGGGAGAGAATTTTTTTCAAATTCTTAAAAAAAATATACAATACCTATTGAACTCTATCACAACTGAAAAGTTATTAATTAAAAGCTCTTCATTTGCTTTATCAACTTACAAATCGAGGATCTTGACGATGAAAATCATTCCACGATGCATAACCTTGTGATACAGACGAAAACATGCTACCGGATGTCCACAATATAGGAGGAGGCAAATGGGGATATTTTGAAGGTTGTACAATTCGGCGTCTAGATTTTATGGTTTTAAAAAATGCAATTTAAAAATCAAGAATATTCTAATAAAATCTGGATTTTTCAATAAAAGAAAGCTTTAGTTATCGATATTATGAATAGAATAAGATAGTAAATATGATAGCAATATCGTTGATTGAATTTTGGAGCTCAATTGATCTCTGTAGTCCCTTATATTACATAGAAAGGCCATCATAAATAGAGTGACTAAGACGTTATTATTTGCAGGCCGTATTATTTTCCATGAAACAAACTGATATCTTGTAACAATATTGCCTTGTTGGAGAGCATACATTAAAATTAAACAGCAAGACATGTTGCTATAAAGAGATATGAGAATAGGTTCACTATTGGCTATGCCTATCCCTCCAATTTATATAAAAGTTGTAAAGCAGAATGAATGTTATTCTAGTCTAGAGCTATTATCAACTGACACTAGAGTTAAATTCAATCAATTTAGATTCAGAATAGCTTTGTTTTACTAGAGATTACGAAGATTCGATAGTAAATATTTAATAAGAAAGAATTAAGACCAAGGATTGAATTCATAGTGATCACTACTTCATATAGTACAAGAAACAAATTGAGTAATTAGATTAAGTTATATTGAATATTGAGTTACTTGAAGGAATTAAGAGGTTGATAAATACGTCATTATTATGACTTTTATAGTGAATTTTATCGCATGAAAAGGTTTAAATGGGCAGGTTAAAATAGATATAGAAGCTATTAATTAAGACAAATAGATACACTGTAATAAAAGGCGTTGTCAAAAAATAGCGATATCACATTAGGAAAAGCGAGACTAGCTAACTTCTATATACGCTACCGTGAAACTGAAAATATACGGAATGGTGTTACTTAGAGATGTGATATAATTTACATGTATTTAAAAGAAAGTTTATAAGTTCTATGGAGGTTCTACAATAATCTACAAAGGTACGTGGATGAAGATGAATTACGCCGTTAAACATTAAATTTTATACTTGAAACGAAACGTCGTCATAAAGCGGTCAAATAAAATTAGACACAAAATTTATGTAACTTTGTAATCGGGACCTAGATCAAGCTGAAAGCAATCTTAAAAGTTTTCAGTGTCAGTAGATCTAATTCAGCGTCATTCAAATATTTCTTCTAGATGATCAACAACTAAACGTGAATTACGTCACTTCAACTCGATCTTTTAATAGCTAAAAGCGATCTGAAAATTTATATAGCTTAATATGGATAGAAGTGATGCTGCAAGTGATAAGGAATATCATCTAGATTTTTAGTCTGTAGTTGAAAGCCATCTTAAAAAGTATAAAACGCAATCCTACGAGTACATACATTATGATAATTATGATCACAAGTAAATGCTCTATCTGCGATCGTCTGGAATATACTGGCTAAAATAATTTTTCGGATACCCAATTAAAGTTTAGCAATGATTAGTATCTACTGACTGGCATGAGGAAAATAAATTTCCATACCGTCATTTAAAATCGTCCAACGATGGCCATTTTTGCTTACTCGCAGATATTTATATTGGCGTATGTTAATATTATATAGCAAACAACTAATTTAATTCGTAGATTATTATTAGTATGATAAAAATATGGATTAATCGATAGAATATTTTTGTTAATAGAAATAAAGAGAACTAAAAGGCCAAAAGAAAATTATTGAAAAGCCTTAATGAAATTATTAATGGAATAGAAGAAAACAATATAGTAAACAAAAAGGGATTTAACAGCAGGATATTTTCGTTGATGAATTCTAAGCTAAAAAAAGGCATTAGTTGGTAGTACAAAGATCAAAACTTTGTAAGATCGAGACAAGTACTACCATTAAAATCTGTTGACGTAGGAATAAACCAACAGAGGTAATATGGAGAAAAAACATAACTGCATGAAATATCAATTGGATGTCATTTCATTATCGATATGTTGTCACTGAGATTTCTAAGAACAGTAGCAGTTTTTCGGCTTATATTAGAATAGAAATAATAAATGGATAAGCTAGCGCAAATATTGGAAATCATTCTTCAATCTGATTAGAATAGGTGATGATCTGTTATTACTTTGATACGATATAGAGTTACTACTAATCTTCATCATTGTATTTGAAGGAGGAAGAGATACGGTAGTTAAATTGAAAGAGATGTGATATAGATTGAATTCTGCCGTATACTTTTTATAATCTAGAGTCTGATTATGCTACTAAATCAATTAGATAAAATTGATTTTAAACTCTAGCATCTCTATCTCGGACAATAAATTAGTAAGAGTAACATGAGCACGACTATTTCGGGCTTTTTTGTATGTCATGTTGTGAATTTTGTCAAGTTAGTGCGTCATTATTGCTTGGATTGATTGCTAAACTACTTCAGCAAAAAACTCATTTATTAAAGTCTGCTATGGCAATATTTTCATCTACTTGTTAGATGGATTTAGGGGCATGGAAATGATTGAAATAATTATCATGGTTATTTTACTAAGAGTAGAACTCAAGAGGTATTCCAAATGCGCTTACTATAACGAAAATTGAAATAAAGTAGGTATGGAGTATTTAACTGTAATTCTGTTGCGATCGGCAACGTATCGGGGAATTTTCGGAACTTTATTATGAAAGATCGAAAACAAAGTTTGCGTTATCAATATCATAAAATTGCATGTTTCCCAAAAAAGTTAACGAAAATTGCTGATGGTAAAACATTTTAAATGTGAAGGAACCAAAGGCATAAAAGAGGCGAGATCAAATAATTCCGAAAAATTCTTGTTTAAGAATAAGGTTATATGGATCTTATTGCTACTGGCAAAGCACTTAGTAGCTAAGAAAATGTTTATCGCTCAACATAGGTAATGAAAAATAGTTCAATGATGACATAATGAGCAAGTTTTGAAAGTATCGTTTAAAATTATAAGTGTAAATCTGGAGACTTTGAGAAATTCTTTCAAAGCGATTTATAGCTTTGTATTTTGGCGTGCTTTAGGGTTGATTCGGTTGAAATAGTAGGAAAGAATTGATTAAATTTTAGGAAGAATTACGCACCTAAAGGATGCTTCGCCTGGTGAAATAATGAATATTATCTAATGATAGACGAGTTTTTGAGATGTGAGTTTTCTTACTTATTGTAGCTAATCTATATTGTAAATACTATATATTGAATATTGAATACTGTAGGCTTATGATAATTTTATAGTTCCTGGCAAATTATTGGAATCTGTAATAATTAGGTTACGGAAAGAAAACTAAAAATATAATTGATCGAAATATGCTTCTTTACAAAGATGTACGGTGAAATGGATGCAAGTAATTAAGCCGTGATATTAAGAATATTTATAGTTGCTATCAGTTAACATCAGAACTCGAAAATATTTAGTAATAAACTAATGGTGATTATTTTAAATAAAGTTACGTTCTATTATAAAGTAGAAGTAGCGAAAGAAGGATGATAAATGTATTTACTTTCTACTTAATTTTCTCATAAAATCAGGCAATGGCGGCGGTGATGGTAGTGTTCCAGCCATAGTGTAGGCAATCATCGGATAAATTATAATATTGAATAGCAGTGTATTAAATAGTTTAAGGCAGTCATACAGATTATCGGAAGTAAGTTGGTAATTAAATTAACGATATTCTTGATGATTGTATGACAGTTATAAAAGATAGTCTATTCAAGATTGGCCAATTTTACTTGACTCGATTAACTTAAAGAACAAAGTGAATAATTTTTTCCCTCATATTAACAATTTAACTCTTAATTGTTACATTAACAATTTATAACATGAAACAAAGTAAAAATGATTGTCTTAATAGGTAGAATAGCGATCATTTTCTATTTTATAGTGTTTCAGCCATTAGATAGAAGTATAAACTAGATGATGACATGGAATAGAGCTGTCATCATGCTCGAATGATCTGGACCATGATGGCCTTCATTGCAGCTGAACAAAGCAGATGGACTGCCATAAAAGTCATGAAAAAAAATGGAATGTGTTGAACTTACCTAAATAATAATAAGATCGGGTCAATTGATTGTGATCTATTCTGTATAGGAATAATCGAAGCTAGTAATTGCGAATTATTCGATCAATTATCGATCCATTTCTTTCTTGCGTGTTTTTAAATTGAATCAATTTGGGGAACTATCGCCATTTTAATTTATGTAGTATACTAGTTAGAACAAGAATTTACGTCTGCAAATTATCTTCAAAGCGTCAATGTTTCTAAACTAGTTACCATGGTAATTAATCAACCATGGTAATGAGATGGTGTCAAGAAACATGGGACCCTAAACGATTACGATTGGATACAACTATTTCTATACTATTTAATTTACGCATACATAACGGTCATTAAATAAACAATAGAATACAATAGCCATTAGATCTATCTATTATTTGAAGATCATTATCTCAGTTATATTCTTCATTATGATAGTGATCTTATTGTGATATTAAAAGAGTTGCAAGTGATGTAATCATGATCTATATGTAACGCACAATTTCATTGGTAGGCTTGATACGTAATTTTTTAAATTGTTTATCCAGTTTCTTTTATGACTGAAGCCTTGTCTGAGTAGATCTTGGCAATTACTATGCTCTATAATAATAAAATGCTACTGCCAAAGATTTATATGTGTTACTATAGACTGCGACTAGAACGACAACAATATTTAAGTATTGTCAATGCATTTAAGAGTAACTTTAGCCAGCGAACTATTGCGCTTTGTACTTACCATAAATGAATGATAATATACATTCAATCAATTTTCTACTGACAGAGTAGGATGTGATGAGTAAATTGGGAATTAAAATTTAAGGCTGTTAATGATTTACCAAGATATTCAAATAGATAATTGCATATAACCTTAGCCTCTCGAACTATCATATGCTACATTTACTACTAGGGTACATTTGTTTTTCCTAGTGATAATGAAATACCCTAGCGATTAAATTATAGATCACAAAGTAATCATAATAGCTAGCATCGTAAAATTGATCCTGGCATCGTATACATGAGAGATCGTACAAGTGTTTTCATAGCATATTGCCGCAATTCAGTGAATTTCAGGATTGGGTAATATATTTGCTGAGGTTAAGACTTTAAATTATACAGTATATTGAAAGGTTGTTAAACAACTTGGTAAGAAGAATTTACAAGAAAAGCCTTTGCATAATGTATAAACGATTTTCAAAGAAAAGTATTCTCTATTTCTTTATTATAGGCAGATTAGATCAGATTAAAGTACATTAAGATACGAATATTTTAGAAAAATTTTAAGATATAGTGTATAAGATCAGCTCATTCGAAGGCTACAACACAGATGCCATTCTTTATTTTGACAGAAGGTGCATTAGTTAAAAAGTCGAGAAATAAAAGAGGTTCTCTATGATTAGAATTTTAATCAGTAGTCTTATTAGACATAGGCCTATTACCGTTGTAGCAAATAAAAGCACAATTCCTGTACCGTAGTACTTGTACTTGCCCAAAATACAAAATTGCGTAGCATAAGTTCTAAAATTAAATCTGTGTTTATCTCAGGCTGGCGCACATTGGCATTGCTATAATCTCAAATCAATGATCTTATTAAATAATCATACGATAAAGTTGTGCAAGGATAATGAAAAATATGTTAAAACTTAACTTGAATCATCACCTAGAGCTATATTCGAAACATATAAACACCAGTTATGCGCATTTTATAGATTAATGGCTTTAACAAAAGTATCTGATTTATGGCTTAGAACAAAGCTGATGTATTGCAGTTAAGGTATCTACAACTTGCCGCTGATTACCTGATGATTCGCCATCAATTAAGGTATGACTGCAAAAATAGATAGAAGATAATCTTAGAAAATTAATAGTTTCAAAGTTTTAAAAGCATCTGTGTTGATAATAAATTATAGTGACTTACATTATTCGTAAATGGATATCATCATTTATATTGTCAAAAGCTTTAGTACAGCTGAATTGTTCACACTTTTTATTCAAGAATTTCAAAGATTCTATCTTCAGCGGAGTAGCTAATTTATCAATGTTATCCCAGCGTAATAATTTAGAAATTTCATTACCAAAGCTGCAAATAATTGATACGTATATTTACGCTCATGTTAATTAAGTAAACATTTGAAACCTGTGACTTCGTACTGTGTGTAAAAGTAATATAGTAGGATGATTCAGATACTAAGAGGTACCAAATAAAAAATAAAATTTAAGCGAAAGTACTTTTATATTTACATTTCGATTCTGCCATAATCTTGAAGAAGTAGAGCACTAACTGATCCATCATATAATGAATCCACCATTGCAGTGTATAATGCAGAATTCGAGGTTGTAGGTTGTACCGTTAAGTTTTCCAGCGCACAAATATAAGCCCTATAGTAGCAGTCAGCTAAAGAAAATCGTCGTCGTGTTACCATATAATAAATATTGGTATCGATAAGTGAAATACTTAAGAAATCATTTTTGTAAATTAGCGTAGTTGGTATTTATGAATAAGAATGAAAATTTTAAAATAATTTAGTTCCCAGTTTATGGTCTCATCAATGAACCTTATACTTTACCGGCAGAATGGGATTCTTGCAATGTTGTATATAATCTAGCGGCTTGATTATATTCCGATACTGCGATACCAATTTGTTTGCTTAACTTGGCAGCATAAGCGGCTAAGAAGTGGTAGATAATAATCTTTTGTGGAAACTGTTGGTAAAAGCTAATAAGTATAGGAGAATCAATACGGTATACCCATGCATTACTAGTAGACATTTATCAAATTTATTTTATCATATTGACACTGATTTAAATAGCCATTTTACATACACACAAATTTCCTGTAGGCCATGCAGTAGATTGCGATAAAATCGATTTTTATCGTCAACACTAGAAATTAGCGTAGAAAATACTTCAATCAAACTTTTATAAATTGTAAATAATTTGGGCTCAATCTTGAAAACATTACTAATTTCATAGCTTACAATGTCAACAAACTTTTACTCTTTAGGAATATCGCATCAGCGCTATCATTACCTTTCGCTATCTGCCGTTCTCATCCATTTATTATACAAAGCTAAAGACGACATTTCTAATCCAGCCACAGAGTGTATAGTCTATTTATGTGCAGTTTCTCGAAATCAGAAAAATATTGAAGATATACGTACGACAGCTAGTATGCTATGTCCAGATAGTATGTCGTAATTATAAGTTCTATGCATGCAAAACGATCACTTATAGGCGATCATCTTTGACTCCGATACTGCTGAGATTAAACTAACAACATTATTGAATTTGAAGATTATTTTAGGACGCTATTTCACAATTGGAAATATTGTGAGGCTAACGGTCCGCCTCATTACGTCCACAGCTCATCAAAATTGAAAATAATTCTGTATGTACTTTGTTAGAATATACATTGCATACAAGGTATCATCTGCTAACTTGCCTCACAAATAAGATCAATATCTTCGGAACGGAAAAATAGAGATATCGACGTATTGTAGTGATCTATTGCTTGAATTCGATCACGATTAAGGGCAAGGCGTGCTAAGTATAAGTAGGACTCAAAGAGTGTTTCTCTTAACTGTTCCTTTTCCTTAGGCAATATACTGGCTAAATTTCCCTCATTGCCATGTGCAGATGGATGCTCTTCAGAATTCTTACAGCCTGATCCTGGTAAATTACGCTCAGTTTCAGGCAGCTGACGAAGAGCTAGTAATCGTTTCTTTATAAATTCAATCAATTTTCTGTACAGGAATATAGCATGATCTTGAGATCCATTGTCGTAAAAATCTAGGCAAGTAAGATACATAAAGGATTTACTTATCATACACAACTATAAATACGGGAAAATAATGACAACTTAGCGATAGTGATCAAGTTCTACAATACTGCTCTTTAATAAATTAGTAGTATAACCGTATTTGTTACTTTCGATGATACTGAATGAATAGTACGATTCTACCTATGTGTATTGTGTACTAGGTTTGGAGTAAGACTATAATATAGCCAACTATAAAGATTTGATATTGTAGCACGCTATTTTGAAATATACCAGCAGCTGCTTTTCGTAAGATTGAAATTCCTTCTTGAGGTCGATCTTGAATTCGATCTTGAACCTTATCAATTACGGTGGAAGGATCTAATACATAAGCATTGAGATTGACTTAAGACAGGTAATGTTGATCCAGTATTAAGCACAGTGACTAAAGTTTTCTTACAAAGCTGTATCAGTTAAGAATAACAGCATTATAACTGCTTTATCAAACGTAGTCATTTATTGATGCAAGCTCTGGTTGTTACAAGAAGCAGCTAGTCATAACCAGATTGAAATGAATCGACCATCATCTGGCATTGACTTCTATTGGTTGATTTCTCATCTCAAAGTCATGCTACTCTAGTCATAAGAGTGAGATCAGCCCATAAGCTGTCTATTCAACTAGACAATGCAACCCTTTTACAAATATAGAGCCTTACCATCCATGACGAATTTCATCGATTCAGCATGCTTTGCATGATCGGTCACCAGCTGGGATTGCTGCAGTTCAAGTTGATGTCTATGCTTACTGCTGGTAAGATGGCTATCCAAGGTGCCTTGATTTTTGAACTTTTTACGACAAGTATGGCAATAATAAGGTGATACTGCTTGATTTTGTTGTGATTGCTCTTGGTTTGCCATAGTATCTTGAAATAAAACAAGTGATTCTTAAATAGTCAATACCCTTTGCACTCGCAGGTAGCTAAGATCCCTTCAGCAAGCCTTTCGTACCAAGTCTGCAGCACATTCAGCTCTTCGCCATGGCCACCCATAAGCAGTCCATTCTTAATCTTGAAACGTCTGCCTGATTGTAAGCTGAGCTCAAGTATTCTTCCAGGATTTGAAAACTTGATGCAATGTCGATTTGCTACTTCGCCAATCTCAATGCCAATACTCGAGCATATTTAAATGAATTCATTTGAAATGGGGTAACCAAGGTAATTTGGAGATTTTACCCAGGCGGTGTTCGACGCTTGATGGGTGCTTCACCCTGTAGCTGCGTCAATCAAGTCATGTTTGCGTAGTTCTATAGCCAAGCGTTGTCAATTTGCAGTCAAGACAAGGCCAATGTAGCCTTCCAGTTCGTGTTGGTACCGGTACCATGGTGTTGCGTAGAGTCATCCATGATTTGTGATAGTGTGGATAGTATAGACGCGTAAACATGTCCTAGAATACTTGGGCTATGACTGGACATTGGAGAATCTCTCGATTGGCTCGCTTTTCTGCTGATGAAGAGAAGCCATTTCAGGAGCTACTCCAGCACAATCTACTTAACCGTCGCCATTATGGCAATGCTTTAGCATGAGCAAAGACACGTAAAATCATGCCTTTCCATGGATCCGAAATAGCCAGGAATAAGGTTTGGATTTAGTTTTAGGTCACAACAATATAGGAGTTGTTGCTCGTTTTGGGTCATAATACTAGTGTAGAGGATCATGTTTCGACACAGTCTTGCCATACAAAACGCTCGCTTAGAATGCACGCAAACATGATATCTTACCCTATAGAAATCCTTGTACGCTTTGGGTCACCATACGAGTGTGTCGTGTGCTATTTTCCACGTATCTGATACGCTCAGCTGTTGTATCTCGCAAACATGACATCGTACTCTATAGCTATTCTGATAGCGTCTGGGAAAGTGCAGCACGGTATTGGTTGATCTAGCTAGGCCTGCGCAGTAACGACAGAAAAAAAGAGTAAGTGGCTGCAACTTGCAAGCTGCAGATACGAGCTCACGTCGATGAATGATGGGAGTAGAACAACATGCCCAACAGTGATTCAGGTTGAATTGAGCTAACTTTGAATTAGTGAAGACATTGATTATCCAAGTTCGATGCTGGAATAGGGTAGCATGGCTTAATGAACCATCTGAACACGTCGTATTCTCGCTAATAGAAACTCTTGATTGAAAGGTTTTGCAGTTGGTTGATTGGTTATTTATTAAGTTATTATCAATAATTGCTTTACTGACGCTAAACTGGATTGAGTAGGTAACATGGCTTGTCATCCAAATAGTCAAATGGTAGTTCATCAGGTGGAAAAGATAAACGGTGATATAAACCATCAGAAATTTATTCAAGATATTTATCCTCAAAGGAAACCCTTCCTTATTTCTGGACATGATTTAGGACCTTGCATGCATAAATGGAATGCAGATTATTTAGCTGACGTGGGTGGCCAGCAAATGGTCAAATTACATGTTGCTACGCAGGATAAAATGAATTTTATTACCAAGAATTTTAGCTACAAGTAAGAAATGGAATACTCATCCAATGAATCCATTACTCGTCAATGCTATTTTAAGGTTATTGCATGTTATATTCAAGGACGTTGCCTTTTAAGGAATTCATCCGAAGGGCTTCTGCTACTGAAAACCAACATTACTTTTTTCAGCCGGTTTGTTCTTTTGCAAAGTTATAAATAAACCCGATATTTGTATCAATAATAATGTATACTGTATACGAGTATAGAATACCAGCTTGTACAATGTACAGTATAGGAATAGAGCAAAATTGTGAAAAAGTGACGTTAATTCATTATACTTTTATTGATACAGAAAGAAAAATATTACTTACGTTCATTGGGAAATGATCCTAGAAAGGTAGTTGATGATTTTATACTTATCTATTTGGTAGCTGCTTAGCTAAGGATGCTAATATTAATTTTGGCTAATAAATATCATTAATAGGAGATTGCAAATTTTATGGAACAATTTCCAGCACTAGTGGATGACATCAATCTTCCTCAATATTATGAATCGTCAGCTTTCTTTTCTAGTGTTCTACGAATTAGTTCTGGTAATTTACAAATTTGGACACACTATGATGTAAGTATTACACTCGAAGTGACATGTCATACGATAAACCTGATGCAGATCGTTTCTTTATTGCTTTATGAAAATTCCAAAATAGTTCCAAGGCGTGAGTTAAATTGAGCGATGACTATGGTACATTAATTATGATAAAGTATTGAAACTCTTATGGTAGTAGATGGTAGCCATTGCAGTAAATTGCAGACATTGACCGTAACTTATATACTGTATGCATCTATAGATAATTTTTCGTTAGAATTTGCCATGATAAATCAGTGTTGACTACTAACAACCTTTAATGAATTAAGGCTTACTTGCTAAGCAAGACTACCATTTGATACCATTAATGTGCTGCTAGGTCATGGATAATACACTAATACAAATAACTGGCCGAAAGCGAGTTGTTTTATTTAGTCCTCAAGACGCGTCAAATCTTTATCTCCAAGGCGATAAATCAGCTATAGTGGATATTGATAATCCTGATTTACAAAAGTATCCTAAATTTGCATCAGTTACGAGATATGAATGTGTCCTTGAGCCAGGTGACATTTTATTCATACCAGCAATGTGGTTTCACAATTGTGGAGCGTTGGATTTTAGTATTGGTATTAATGTATTTTGGAGACATCTCGACTATTCTTATTACGACTCACGCGATACATATGGCAATAAGGACTTACTACCGGCAGCTAGGGCTAACCAAATTCTCGATCGAGCCATTAAAGCTTTAGGGGAGCTACCTGACGATTACAAAGACTTTTATGCTCGCCGCTTGGTGTCTAAAATAGAAAATTTGTGCTATCTTAAATAAAATGCACTATGTAAAATACTTTTATTAAAAGTATGAAGAGAATGTATCTTTATTATAAGATTCTAACAATCACCATTGAAAGCTTTATTCATAGGTTAGAAAGACACACTATGACTAACGCGGTAAGAGCATGCCTTTATATTCTTCTATGCCTATTTGACGATTACGTATGCCTCATAATTGTTGATTTACTTCTATAACATGTCTGATTTTAAAGATATAAACTGGTATGAATAACCTATGAAATGAAGGATTAAAATGATTAAACATTGAAAGTACTTGCTATATCTTGTGTCCAAGGTCTAGTGCCTTACCGCACTTTGCGGGTTACAATTTATAACGATATACTCGTGCAGTACTATATAATACAAAGCTTGGTGCAGCAGGCTCGATAATCAAAAATTAGCCTAACATCTCAATAGTCTTTTGATTTTTCACCTCAAAGGATGAAATAATTCAGTTTTCAACAATCCTACAACTTGATCACAATCTCAGCAAAGTAGTACGTATATTAGAAGAATTCTTATACGTGGTTATTTCATGAGAATAAACCTTGCAAATTTATTTTGACTTATAAATAAGCATCAGCTTGATTTTAAACATTAAAAATAGAATGAGAAAGAATAGACATGACTGTCAGAAGACTAAATAAAATGAAATATGTCGAGGGTAATGTAGCATCAATTATAATTATAAATCAGTTCATCAAGGCTTTCTTTCGGGTTTTATTGTCTCAATTATCCAACCTTAAGTCATGCTCTAAGTAAAATTACTATTGAGATAAAATATATTCGATCCATTTACAGAATGTCCATTAAAGTCAGATGAAAATTCCATTTGGATATCTATACATCTGCAAAGTAGATCATTGAAAAAAGTATAAAAAAGATGATACAAAATTAGACCTAGGACTATCAATATCCTGAAACTGGGTCCAATGTTAATCAAAACATATCGGGGAATAGTCGCTACTAGAATAACATAATACCCTTTAAATGCTAGAAGTTATCGTATAATCATATGAATAAATTATTTCTATTTAGGCCACGTTCTTACAGATTTTAGGCCGTCTTTACTGACCTGTCACTTTCTTCACTCTCTACTATTTTTATATTGCCCTTGATTACTTGATCTTGCTCAACATTGAAAGGGTCCTTTAGGTACATCACTGATTGGCACCAATGCGTGGGCCTATGAATACAATAATTATCAAGTTAAAAACGATCAATAAAGGCATATCAATTGATACACCAATCATCATAAATTGCTTCTTTAACAATAACGTCAAATAATCCAGATATGTTCTTACGGGGAAAATGGAGAAGTACTTAGCAACACGTTACTTCCATCACAAATTTCAAAAGAAACATTAAACCATAACGTAAAGCCATGTACCAGCGCTCGACCCATCGCTATTAACGAAAATGGTTGCTATTTGGCCACGAGCAATAAAATCTGGTTAAGTAACCAAGTGTACCTGATTCCTTTGTCTACGCAACGAGTTATAGCTAACTTAATTGTTATGATGACAGTCATACCTCTATTCGCTTCAAGTCTGCTTCACAGACTTGTTTAATGGATAGTGAATATATACAGGTTTCGGGAGCTATAACATTTTCAGTAGTTAACTGACATAAGCAGACGTTTTCTACATCAAGTACGAGATAATCGATCAAAAATCATTAGAGTTGGCAGAGAGTGTCAATGATAAAGTACGGTTAATATCTGATTTAGTTGATAAATAACTTTAGTCCATCATTTCGGTGTTTATCTATTTCCTGACTTACTAAAAGCTTCTTGTTTTGCCAATGGTACGATTGTATCCATAGATACACCATATTTATCTTTTATGCTATACCAGAAATTATGTCTACAGCAAAATGTAATTGAATATAGGACGTCTGACAACCTGCAAGCATAACTGTATGCGTGGCTATAGCTTAATTAATGATTACTACTACCTTTCTTCGTAGTCTTCATCATAACTGATCGGGGCAAGATAAATTTCAGCACATGAAGGCAAGATTATGCCATCCTAAATTGTAAATGATGAGTAAAGACTACATAAAATAATGTATCATATTCCTATAAATTGTTAATAATTATATTAGCAACTTATCGACAAATAAAGTACTGACCAATAAATATTTAATACAGGATGAAGTGATTGTATTACCTCTTTAAGCCATTTATCTCTTGCATAAATAACTGACTTTAGCATCCCTTCGAATAGTAAGCTGTAACCCTTAATAATGTTACATCGATGATATTGAAAGCATTACAAAAGCTGTACTGTTTATCTTACAGTGTACTCAATTAATGCTACAGAATACTTGATATTACCATCCATTCGCTAACAATGACGTCTACTTTTTCAGGTAGTTCAATATTCTATTTTACGTAAAATAAGAAATTCCATAAGACCATGGTTATAAATTTATTAATTTATTCTTGAGGCACTGGAGCTCTATAGCCTGTATCACGATGTCATCGTGATGTTGTAAAACGCACCTCAACCAGATCGTTAATGACGGATATCTTATCTTGAGCATTATTTGCTAATGCAACCTTCTTTGCCTGTTCGGCTATTGCGCTCGCTTCAACGGCATACACTAAATACAATTAAAAGTAGTATTAACTTGAAGTTATTACTCGTAGATTCATCATTATAATGAGAAACAATAACGAATCTTGCGTGTTATAATCACGTTCTTATATGTACATTAGTATTTGCGTCACTAGTCACTTTTATTAAATGACGCTTGTATCGTTATGTTGAGATTGAGTAAGAGAGCATCAAATATTCCTAACCTTTGCGAGCTCCAGCTTCAACACAAAAATGACTTAAAATACCTAATATAGGAAGTCAATTAATCATGTTCTTTTTAAATCACCGTAATATCAAAGTCAATTTACTTATTAATAAAAATCCGTACCTGTACCAGCTCCAACATCAAGGACTACTTTATTTCGTATACGATTAGCATTCTTTAATATTGCAAGCCTATAGAAAGGAATGCATGCCAGTGATATTGAGGAAGTGCTTGCATGTTTAATGTAGATTAAGATAGAAGATCTTATCAAGCAAAGGTTTGAAATTTTTATGATACCGATAGGTTTTAGTTCTGATCTCATCACTTAGCATTTCTTGGTGCACATCCAAATGCGCGTAGGCACTGAAATGTGTATAAATAAGTTTATATATGAGTGCGATTAATCCGTCCATACTATCTATTAATCAATTGTTAATTGAAAGAAGGTTGTTATTCATCAGCTGTTTAATCAGTCATTTCGATTGACATGCGAAAGGGTAATACATTACAGTACTTTAGTTAGCATTAGTATCGCCATCAAGTAGGCTGCCAAAAGCGGCATACTGCCAATTCAAGTCTTACCGGAAGTAATCTTCATCCTTGGTTCTTTGATGGTACCATCGATTCATGGATAGTCATAGCCATTAGTTAATCATAGAAGAATTGGAGAAGATAGCGATCATGTAATTTATATGTAATGCACTTACAAAGTTAGTCTGTGATTTAATCCACTTTAAATTCTGCCTAGTCTTATTTGCATCATCCAACAAAATGTTTTTATTCTACTGTAAGTCAGTATGTACACTATCACTCCAACAATTGCTCGTATACTGTAATAAGAATTGGATAGTCATCGCGTTCATTCTGCTGTAATTCCTGCAGCCTGAACACCGTTATAACTCCATTAGTCGATGTACTAAGAAATTTTATCTAGCCAAGCACTTCAAAATCTATCATCGCAATGCTACATTGTTACCCTGTTCTCTTTCGTTTAGAATTGCTGGACATGCTGGATTCTTGCGTTGGCAATGGATAAATGGGAATAGCACTGTATGTGAGCAACGATTTCCACGTTTTTTAATTAATTTAACGGTAAATAATCCTGTTGCAGGTTTGTTCCTTTATCTATGGTAGGTCTATAAGAAAATTGGAATAAATTGTGCAAATGTACAAAGTTAGTCGAGTTGCTACATGATTCACTTTACTTAAGCAGCTACATCATTTTAACAATCAACGACCACTAGCATAGCCTGATCTCGAGCAGCCATGCAAGCAGTGCAGCAGCAGCTAATCGATAATTTGCCAACACGAGGTCCTGTCCTCGTACGTACGTCGTACAGTATTTGTAGCTTAATTTCTTATTGCACAATTGACTTTATAACACATACCAGGCTTGCAGCTGTTTCTCGTGCACAAGCTGCAGCTATGTCGACAATTTTAGCTCGATTCGCTAACTCTGTTACCAGTACTCTTAGCAGGAAACTGCAGCTCTAAGTAGCAATCGCTTATAAGTTAGCAACTTGATGTCATTGATCGCTCGCAAACGTCAGTCTAAAAACACTCGTAACCGCGACCGGCTTGCCACCAAAGTTTTGAAGGCTGTCTCCTTCCGTCCTTCTGACCTATGCCTAGGGCCAGGGACACCAATAGTACGTTAGTAATATACCGCACTAGAAATGGCCGCCCAGAGCGAGAAGAATGATCGGGCTAATCATTTTTTCGCCCATTCTGCTACACGCTAGCATGAAACAATATAGCACCCTACGCAAAACTAACATAGCAGCTAATTTTGGACGATAGAACTGTTGTATAGAAGTAGTGAGTCGGAGTAAATACGAATAAATCAACCTTTAATTAATCTCCATTCACACTTGTCGAACTGACTTTATTATGAGTTATAACTCATAATAAAGTTAGTTCGAATAGAAGAAGACATAGTCGGCCTTATTACAACAGGATTAAATGAACTGTAAATAAATTCAATAAAATTGTTATTTAACAATCATTGCTACTCCGATGCTATCAATTTTGATCGATATTCGGCACAACAGTGTATTATACTGCATAATCGTCGACACTCGATAGCATAAAATAGAAAAGTCAGGCCCTCATGATAGCATCCTCATAACCCAGCCAGCATTCCCTTCCCTCTCTTACTTCCTTAGAACTGGTCCAGTAGTCCTAACTGGGTCCTGATCAATATACAGTACAGTTCCGGGAATCGGTAGTCGGTCCAGACGTCCAGTACCGTACAGTGTACACTGTACAGTGTACAGTACACTGCACAGTACTGTAGTATCAGTACCAGGGTGATGGGCGAAGACAAGGGCTTGAAACAATTTTCTTTTACTGTAATAAGGAAGAATGCTGAAACCGTACATCATATACCATACTGTAGCATAGAAAACTAAGGCTTGGAGGACAACATGGCGAAAGCAACCCGGCGCAAGTATCTCCTATCCATGGCTGTTATGTTCATGGTAGAAGCTAAGCACGAGGAAGAGAGTTTGCAAAGAGATTTGCTTTCGAATTGATGTTGTTACTCGTTGGTAACTTCTATACCCTAACTAATAAACTGAATATATAGCCAGATCGAAAGTCTGTTTTATTATTAATTACTAAATCCTTGTTTAACAAAGTCGAACCTCGCTCGACACGGCACTTGACAAACATTGGAATGTACAGAAATGCCGCAAATTAGAGATAGATGGTATAGTATTATTCCATGCTTATTCCTTTTAGAGTTCGGTAAACAGAAATAAGAACTTGATTTCCAATTCTTGAATTTCAGCAAGTTTGCAAAATAGTATAGAGGCAAGGTTATGGCTCATCTTGTATTGCAGATTGCCGGATAAAAAATAAAAGCGAACTACTGATTGAACGTAGCAGTAACATGAACTCCTAGAAGGAGACCTGGATAGGAAACTATTCGAACGATCGGACTTTTCTTATAACATAAGGCAAAACTTGCCGAAAAATAGTTACTGATCATTATGGATCTTCTATATCTGTTTTCTAAATTACTCTTGCCGGAATACCGATCGCGGTTCACAGCTGAATGTAGTCCTAGAACTCCTAGAGGGAGACCTGAATAGGAAACTATTCGAACGATCGGACTTTTCTTATAACATAAGGCAAAAATTGCCGGAAAATAGTTACTGATCATTATGGATCTTCTATATCTGTTTTCTAAATCACTCTTGCCGGAATACCGATCGCGGTTCACAGCTGCATTTAGTCATGCTTAAGCTGTAGTCTGTAACACAGCCACTGTAGTAATATTAGCATTTTCGAAATGCCAGAACAAGCGCTAGTAGAGGTAAAAAAAAAGAGAAAGAGTTGTCCACCCTATTTCAACATATTGTAGACCCTGGCTCACATGTACAGTAGAGAGAATAGAAAAGGAAAGCCGATATTACAGCTCACAACGAGACCGACCACAAAGTCGAATTTACTTTAACCTTGCTATCGTTCACATTCCAAAATAAATCACTTTTTCTCCTAATAGTAAAATATATGATTGTCTATTCTTTTCAATAAGGTAAAACTAAACTGCCATTCCATCACCCTATTTATCCATTCCCAATAGCATCGTTCATGGTATTCTATTGCAGGTTATAAAATAAGGCGCCGAGTAATTTGAGCATAGCGCCTTCAAACTATGATTTGATCATCATCATTAAAAAGCAAAATCAGCGATAGGATATTAAAGATGATCAATGGTAATCTTAATTCCTATCGTGCCACGATATTCAGTGAGACAGTATTGCAATGAGTTTATTATTGATGTTGACTGTGCTAATCAATGACTTTGGGACATTAGCAGTATTTATTTCCGCCATGTTCAGACGGTGATCATGATGCCTTTATTATCTATGATTCTTTCTGGACAGTGGAAGATATGGGATTGTATTACTGCTTCTTTCGCTTTGGAAAGACTTTCTTTATTGCTTGGCCTAGTTGAACAAATCATTTTCTATTTTATTTCCGTCTAGAATGTTGCACATGTGCGCTCTTTCTCATCATTGTAGAACTATTTCCATTTTCTCTATAGTATTGTTTACTAGAATGAACAATACTAGTTATTTTAGTTATTTTTGTTTGCTTATTTCCAATGCATTGAATCAAAAATTCAATGAAAATTGTCGTCAATCATTCAACGATTACAATGAGTACCGCCATAGCCTCTAGCTTTCTATTGGAAATATTTTATTATTGATGATTGTTGCTGCCGATATACGAGTATATTAGACCAATGACTCCATCGCCGATTACTATCGTGAATTATTTATTACTTTTTTTCCCTATTTGATTTAGCTTACAAAAATGATCGAAAGACTAATACTGGCTTTCTTGTACTGCATGCAAGATCAAAATGTTCCATAATCGATTTCATGCAAGCGTGAATGGATCAGTTTCTCACTTTCCTGACCTATTTCAATTATCCTTTTAATAGGCAGTACGAGTATATTGTAAGCATGCATGCGAAACGAATAACCGAAATAAAACAATGGCAATATAAATTTAGATAGAATGCGAGCAATAACTCATTTTACTCATTTTAATAAGGTCCTGTCAAAATATTCATATAATAACTACAGTAGTATTTCTTATAAAAGTTCATTTTTTTGCATATAATTATATGCACCGCCTTAAAAAGACTGCAATACATACTAAAATGTTATCTAGAAATAGCTCGATTTTAGTCCAGCATGATCACTTTCTCTACCCTATTTTAATTATCGCTGTCATTTATATTTTAAGGGTGCATGCAAGACCAATAATCTAAATGAATCGATTACAATATAAATTTAAATGTAATTGAAGCAATACATCATTTTACTCATTGCGATAAAGCCCTGCCATAATATTCAAACAAGAACTGCTATTTCTAGTAAAATTTCGCTTTATTGCATAGTCATTATCGCAAAAGACTACAACATATACTGTAAATATCATTAAAGACTAGATACTGGTACTTGACAATCCAACCTTCAACTACTTTCTTTAAAATCTTATTACTTTAATCTTCAGCTAAGATACTAGCCGATATGACAATCCAGCATTCAACTGTTTTGGTTAAAATATGCAATTACTTCAATCTTTAGCAAAGATACTAGCCAGATAGGACAATCCAATGTTCAGCTACTTTGATTCAAATCAGATTACTTTAATTTTTAGCGAAGATACTAGCACGATATGACAATCCAGCGTTCAATTACTTTCGTTATAATCTTATTACTTGAATCTTGAGTGAAGACGCTAGTACAATATGACAATCCAGCGTTTAGCTACTTTTGTTGAAATCTTATTACTTTAATCTTCAGCTAATTACAACTGCTCTACACTCGTTTCCAATGGTAGATTAGAATAATTATAAATTGGTATTCCCAAAATATCATCTACGAATTGATGCTAGCACAATAAGCCAATCTAAAGTTCAACTGTTATGACAAATCTTATCGTTTCGATCTTGAGCTAAGTTGGGCTGCACTACACCCATTTTCAATAGTGGACTAAAGTAATTAAAAAAAAATAATCACAAAGTAATATCAAATTGCTTTCGCACGTATTTAGATCAAAATCACGCAATGCTGAAGAGATCATTTTCAAAATAAAATGTCATGCT